TAAAGACTTGAAATTTCTTGTTTAAAAGATTAGTCTGCCAGGGAACATGTAAATGAATCAAAACCATCTACTGCTATTTAAATTGTGTACTTTCATGTATTGTCCCATTCTGAGTCGGTTTTCTCATGAAGTTTTTAAAACTGTTAGAAGTTTATTTTACTGTTTGCTGTCTTCATTCACACTGGACATGTAACTTTCTGTGTAGCACAAATGAATTTTTTAATACTCATGTTTCATAGAAGAGGATAACTAAATACTCTGCAGGAGAGTCTTAAGTATAGTAGAGATTGTAATGATGAATTTCTTTTTTGTAAAGAACATTAAGAACAAAGTGAAAGACTGACATTTGATGGATTTAGAATTAGAGAGTTTGTTTGTCTCTCTCCTTAGTTTGGGTGAATGGATACTTTCAAACACTTTTTACTCAGAAAATTTTGTTTCCTCTTCTCTGAGGCTGGTTAGCTTGGAGATTATTACAAGTGCAAAACAGACATTGCTGCTGAATCTTCAGTGAATTTGCATGTTTCATTCAGTGTCCACATGTTTATAAATAAATACATTGATTGAGGCCTTCTATTACATGCCAAGATTCAAAAAAGGAATTCTTATACAAAAAAAAAGAAAACATAAACAACACCCCCGTAAACCTAGTAATGTATTCTTGCCATAAAATCCTGATAATTTTTACAATTCAGATGCATATCATATTTAATTCTTCTGTATATTTAACCTGAGAATGCCCAGAGTAATTATCTAGGTGTGAATGACTCATCATGCTCAGGTTGTTGCAGGTGTTGTTGGTTCCTGTTGGTTATGAAATATGGGAAATTCTTCATACTGTCTGTTACTATAAATGGTCTCATAAAACTATGTGTTCTGTCCTTGCTGTACTTGGAACAGTACCAGAACTCTTATGACTGAAATTATGGGAAGTTCTGTGCTGGATAGTATGTGCAGAGATTTTGTTTGAACAGTTAGGTATTTTGAGAAATTGAGGCAATTTTTAAAGTGGTATTGGTCTTCAGATTTTAATGGAAAATTGTTTTTATTTTTTGGGTGTTTACAAATTCTTTGTTGCTCCTCTCAAAAGTCCACATACCAAATATTATCATTCTTCTTTGGATGCTTTCAGAACATTAGCTATTTGCTTGTGTGTGCTCTGGGTCAGATTGGGGGAAATGTGTGTTTGGGGAGAGTATAGTGGAAAAGCTCGAGAATTTGATCGATTGGTAAGTTTGCATAAGAGAATTATTTCCTCAGTTACTATAAATTTTGGTATTTTAGGCATGTGCACTACCATTTGAGCACTTTTATACTTCACTGTGCTTTCCTTGTAAATATATGTGGTTAATAGTGTAATGTTTGAGGGACTTAAAAAAACAGCCTCTTTATTTCCTATGTATCTGGACCAGTAGATTGCTGTACTGTACTTAAAAGTTGACTGCAGACTTCTAGAATTGTAGTCACTTGGGGGCAGTTTTTGTCCTCATAATAGTTAAATTCCATCATGCAGAAAATAGTTAGACTGTCTGTATAAACCTGTGTATAAACCAGTATCTCAAAGCACTTCATATGTACTACCACTATATTTGTGTACTTTAACAGTTGTGTAAATATATTCATAATAACTTCTGTTCTTCTTGGTGTAACTTACTGACTTGCAATGTATCTTTACCATTTACCTGATGCAACTCTTTTCTTTTTTATTTTTTCCATATTTTTCTCTTTTTCTCCCTTCTTTTTTTTCCTTTTTTATTTTTTTTTTTTTTCCTTTTTTTTTTTTTTTTTTTTTTTTCTTTTTTCAAGGGATTTCTGTATCTGCAAAGAATATTGTCAGTTGCAAACATTTGAAGATACTGTCTTGGTACCAAAACTTTCAGTGAAAGAGCTTGGTAGTTATGATCCTGGGGTATACAGGAAGAAAGAGAAAGCATTCATTGTTTTGCTCACAGAAAGCATGCCTTTTTGCCAGTTTAAAAGTAAATGTTTTTGTTTGGATACTTCTTTTTTTTTTTTTCCCAGAAGTTTTTTGTTTTGTACAAATGCTTTTGCTTATCAAGTAATGCATGGTATTGATAAAAAAGTATAGGAGGGGAATTGGATCAGTTATGGGAGCTAAGATAAAAGCAGGAAAAACAGTGAGCTGTACTCACAGTGGTGCCCTGTGTAATAAAATTCCAGGTTTTGCTATGTGATTTTCAAAAATCTATTATAATCCAAGGGTAGACACACTTTCAGGAACCCTCCATGTTTTCTTATTAGCAGGCCTTTAAAAGTTGGAAGGCTATTTTAATTTCTTCTCATGGTTTTCATTTAAAATTGTGTGTATATGCTTTTATACAGAAAATACGACCTGTGCTGCTTTTTTACATAATCTTGATTGGTTACAGAGTCCCTGAGTTTTTTGTGGTACAAGTACTTAAAAAAAAAATCCTCTGCTTTAAGAGAGATATTAAGAAAAAAACATTTGAGTCCATATATTCCACGTTAACTTCATGAAAATATTCAAAACACTCCTTGGAGGAAGGCATGTTCAAGAAGTCATCATTTCCAGTAGGAAAAAATATTGTAAGCACAACTATTTGTCTTTGTTTCCTCGTGTTCCAGACCCTTGAGTATAGCATTGGCTAGAGCAGTATACATGTTGATTTCAAGAATATTTAGTTTCTCTTTTTAAATAATTAAGTAAAAAGGTGTTTATTTTGTTCTTTGACTTTTGCTTTACAAGAGCTGCTCTTCATGTGTACAAAATACCAAATTAGAACAAACAATGCTGCTGGTTTTTAATAGTGCTGAGCCATCTGGTCAGAAATCAAAAGTTAAGCTTTGAGATTGTGAGCAAGTGTAATCCATCATGAATTTAATCCTACAGTAGCTTCTAAAGTTCACTGGATGAGCTGGGTTAATAATAAAAAGGTTTTAATGTGAAATAATGCAGTACTTTGTTATTACAAACAGTATATTTCCCTCTTCATTCAAGTGACAGTTTTTGATTTTACATGCATATGTATAGATTTAAGTGACTGTATGAACCTGAATTTGTATAGACTATGTGCATTGTTCAATGCTTTTGTACAAGGAGAGTGCTCAGAGGCCTGGTCGTCAGTAAGAATGTGTTTCACAGCAAAATCAGACAGACTTTTTCAGCAGATATTTACACAGTATTAACACTTTACAACTTCTTATACATTGCTGGGTTTTTTCCTTGCTTAACATTATTAAGACCAATATGGTTTGGTTCTTCTGTCAAAACAATTGCATGCTGCAGGCAGAGGGGTAGTAGAAAATGAGAGGAGAACTGTACATAAAGAATCTACAAAAATATGCCTAAAAATGTTGTTAATCACATTTTGGGCAATTCTTGATTCCAAACATTTAAGGCTTAGGTCTGAGATATATATGTATGCCTAATGGACAAAGAATGTGTAAAAGTGGAAAAAGGGAGAAATGTTGCAGATCATCCTAAATTACTAAGCCCTAGTCTACAGTGTCTTTACTGTGACCAATCCAGGATGCTTGGGGTGGGATGTGGAACAAGAATTCATTTGGTACATTATGCACTAAGAAGAAAAGAGTTTTATTGTGAAAGGTTTTAAACTGTTGAAAGAGTACTAGATGAAACGTCAGAAGAGCAAGAGCTATCCTCTCTTAATGCTCTGAAGTATTCATCTGGGAGTTGTAAGGAAGGCTGCCAGCTGAAATATTGCTGACATGATGACGCAAATATGGAGATCAGTCAAGGAACTAACTGTATATCTAGAGGTAAGTAGCTTTTTACTCTGTCTCTTTAATTTGCCATACATTCTCAGGCAAATACAGGACTGCTGATCTCGCTGTGTCACTAGCAAAATGCTTTTAAGAGCATAAGCATTGTAATGGTCGTTAGTAGATACACCTTGTTCCTACTGACACAAAAATGAGCTCTATCTCAGAAGCATTAAGAGAGCTGCTAAAACAATCAATTCCAAAGCTGTTCCTTCTCATTTGCAGTGCCACTGCTGTTGTCAAGGTTGTTTAGTCTTCCACAAGCAGACAAGTACTTCACTTCAACAGGTTCAGCAGCAGGGAACAGCAGCTGTGCAACTCAGGTGGAGCCCATTTTCCCCTACAGTGAATGACGCTACTTCCTTCTTTCAGTCTCCAAGAAGGCCAGAGGCAAAGATAAATTCTGGTTTTCTGTCATAAGGGTGGGCTGACTACACGCTAGTAAGTTCTATCATTTTAGTCAGTTGAGTAATATTAATTCCTGCAGCAGTATATGGCTTGGTTTGGCCATTGGGGTGGCAAAGCATTTGATTACACCTTAAGTCTTGCCAATTTAATTAAACTAGGATACAAAAGGTAATAATGTGCTATTCTCTTGCCAGAGATACTTAAGTACAAGTCGGTATCTTCAGATCCCCAAAGATATGTCTTCACTGAAGAGCTTGTAATTTTGATTAGTTGGCTGTAGCCTTGAGATTATACCTTGAGGAGCCAATCCTAGCTGAGGTACCATAGTAGCCAAAAACCCACAACATAACTGTATGCCTGCACTGTGTTTTCTTAGGAGCTTTCAAGTTCTAAAGAGCATCACTTGACAGTAAAGACAGCTTGCCAGCATGTCAGTATTAAAAATATTTTGGGCTTTAAAAGTCATGACAGTTCGTAAAACTTTACCTGTAAACAAAACCCAGAGCACTATTCAGAGGAGAACATTAATATTTGTTACACAGCACAGCACCGAATTAATTGCTGTTATTTTAAATTAGATGATGCTTTAAAATAGTCATCAGGATCATTTACAGCAGAAGCAATATCCATTCTGGAATTGGCCAAACTGTGAGTGATGGCAAAACAGTCCCCTTGCCCACATTAAATTCTGGCTGCCTGTCAACTGTCAGCCCTTCTCTATAAACACTCTTGGCTCTGTGTAGCTGTTTAATAGACATGTGGAAATGAAACCCAATGTCCATATTGGGATGTTAAATTTTTCTGAGCTTATTTTCTCAAACCCACAGTTTTTGACAATCAGATATTTATTCACTACATTTGCAACAGTTTACTAGAAAAGCATTTAAAAATTACTAAGTATAAATATGCACATTACATTAAAGTGCATTAACAAGAAACAAAATGTCATCTCGCACAAAATTGAAGTGTATTCCCATAATCCTAAAGACGAATGTGGCAAAGAGATACAGACACACATACACAAGTCAATACTTACCATTATAACATGTAGGGATTTTGCATTCTGAAATTCTTCTCTTTATGATTGATAAACATTGATTGTTTATGATTATGGTTTGTCTACCAAACTAAAATTTTATTTGGGACGTACCAAAGGTGTATATGTGAATTTTGCTTTTTCGTTTTGAAGTTTGGTTGCTTGATTAGGGGAATGTTCTCATTTATTTTTAAAGAATGATTCTACATTGTCAAATACATGTTTGTGTAGATGGAATTTAATATTAGCATGAGATCTCTCCAGTCCTTTACACCATACCTTCATACCATCCATCTCAAGTCTTAACTTTAGGGAACTGGCTTAGCTTGAAACAAATAGCTGCATCACTTTAAGACTTCTAGTTCTGCTGAGGTCTTCTAGGCTTCAAATGACTACAAAATATTTAATTTAGAATTTTCAAAAAAGCAAACTAATCTATGTATAGAAGGAAGAAAATTTTAACTCTGCTCATTGTCTAATAAATGGGAAAACTGTAATCTACTCCTGTGGGTATTTTGCATATATATATATATATATATACACATATGTAAATATGTATGTGCAAACACATGATTTCTTTTTTATATGTTCTCTGTGTATTACTGCCATTTATACACATTTCATCTTGCATCAGGCCCTTATTTTCCTCAGATCCTTTACATAATCAATCATACAATACTTTAACCATAAATCCTATAGTACACAATTTATAGAATGTGTGAAGATCCAAAATGCTTTAAAAATTTTGCTAGCCTGCAGTAATAGTAAAAGACTATTCACTACTTTCAGAGAAATAATCTTTAAAAACTGTGTTGGTTTTTTGATTGTTTACTTTCTGGACTTCTTAGATATATTAACGAACTGTGTGTCAAAAGAAATTACATTTGCTTCAATAGAAGCAAAAGAAAATACATTTGCTTCTTCAAAAAAACAGGATACAAGGTGTATCCTGTATGATGCAGGAGTAAACTACAATCTTGGGATGCTTGGAAATTTAGTTGCATAATTACCTACATTCCCTTCCTTTTCCTTTTCCCTTTTTTCAAATCTCAAAATTTTAATCAGGTGAAGGTTGAACAAAGGTTCATCTGGGTAGATATTGCATGAAACTGTTCTGCCCATGACCCTGAGCAATCAATGTCTCTTTAGCAATGCTTTATGGCTTTGACCGTATACATCCTCAAAATATATGGATGAGCACATCTCACAGACTGCTTTTAGGGGCATCTCAGTGGTATTGAGATTAAAGAAATAAAGTACCAAAGTAGCTGGAGGAATTTTAAAATAATTCCTTGCTTTTAAATATACAAAATACTTTTAAAAAATATTTATCAATCCATTTAAATATTTACAATAAGCAGAGTTAAGTTAAAAAAGGAGTCTGCCTGGACAGTGCTGGGAACCTAAGGACTAGTGCTTGTGGGGTTTAGTTTTGGTTGGTTTTGACTTTTTAACACATTGGGGCGGAAGGAGAGAGGTCTGTAAAACAGGAGATCAATAACCTTTTGCAGCCATGTCAATAGGAGCAGTTGGGTACTTGCTTCAGCACAGTCTGGTATAGTGGCCAGCAGCTGTCCAGCCTCGGGATCTGGCATGGAGGTTTCCTTCCCATCAGTATAACAAATCTCTTTCCAAGAAGATAAAGGCAGCTGAGCAGAAAGAGGACTGGAGGGCTAGCACACACTTGGGTGTTACCCTTGAGTGGGACAGAATGGGAGCAAGGAGTTTAACTGGCTCTAGAACTCTGAAGTACCCTCAAGCCTGCCACTTTGGATGTTGCTGAGAGTGCTACATTAGAAGTTTCTCACCTTTGTATTGATGCTTCTTACAATTAATTAAAATGATAAAAGATTTTACACTGCTAATACGTTTTTTAAAACTGCTTAGTGAATTAAATTCTAAGTCTTTTTTTTCCTCACAGTCAATAAAGGAGTCCTTTGATTTGACCACTCTCATTAAGTAAGCATCTCCTGCTGTCATAAATACTGCAAGCCATTGGTAGGTCTGTGCTGAAAACAGCACAAGAGCATTGGTAGTCCCAGTCAGAGTGATTGATCTTTGAGTTGAAGAAAATAACTTGTATAGGCAAATGAGGCCTTTCTTTGAACACTGGTTTTACTTATGAGATTATTTATGGTTTCTTGTTGAGCTGTGTCTCCTTGTCTTCCTAACTTCCTTTTCTGTCTCAAATCACATAAAATTACAACATAAAACTTTTCCAGCTTAACCATAAAAGTATTAGGTATGGAAAATGAAACATGGTCTGGAAAGTCAGTATGATAAGCACAAAGGACATTCTGTCACATATAAAGCAGTCTAGACAATTTGCAGAATGGACAGAAACTTAAACTTGTGCCAAAACCTGAGGTCAAAGAAATAACCATTTAGTTCTGTGATAACTGCATGGCATTATCTAGCAAAGAAATTCAGTGATCAAAGCACACAGTAAGACAAAAATGGCTATCTGAGAATCTGAATTCATCTTTGGAAAGGTTTACAGTTTCTGCTTTTTGAAACAACAGGGAATTCCAATCTGAAAGCTGTATCAGGCCTTCATGTATCATCTGAAGCAGCCTCCAAGGATACAAAAAATTACTCTGTGGATTCTGTTTTTCTCTAGCCTTCTGGAGCTGTCAGTGTTGTGTTTCAAGTACCAATTTAGTCTTTAGCAAACTGAAGCTAAGTTCAGGAATTAAGCTGTTATAATTGGGAAGTCTCATTCACTACAATTGCTGCCATTAAACTAATAAGACTTTAAAATAATGCACTACATAGGATATAAAACCAGTTTATTTTATGCAGCATCCGTTTCTTTTAAAAGTTATGATTCTAACTTTCCGATTTCTGTGCAAGGTTGTCCTAAAAATGCAAAACCATTTTGAAGAAACTTCCAAAATGGAAGCTGTTATCTGAGATCGTTCATTAGAGAATGGTTTGTGGTTTTGGCACTTTGTTTCTGTTAAAAATTTAAAGTGGATACTGAGTTTTAAGGGATTAGGGTCTTTCAATTTTCAGTTATTAAGTGGAACAATTTTGGCACCTAAAAGCCAATATTCCTTTGCTACTACTAAGAAAATTGAATATGTTACATTAGTCGGTTTTGAAGATTGTTACTGCAGTTACAAAACCTAGACATCTTTTTATAAGATTTGAGAGGTGGGATGCAGTAGCATGATTTTATAGTAAAAAAAAATTACATTTCTTGAGTGGTTTTGGGTGGGAAAAAAAATACAATGCCTTCCTTTTGCCTTCCTTTTCTATTCAGTACCATGCCATCATAAAAATGATGACCAGTTCTATCATGTTTCCTCAAACAGCAAGAATGGCACTTTGAACGTCCATAGATTAAGCCAGGAGGTAGGGAAGTGGATAAATGGGGAAGAAAGAAACCTCAAAAATAAACATGTTAAAACCTTTCCATGATGCTAACATTGCATTTTATGGATGACTAACATGTTTCAAAGCAGTTCAGTCTCTTTCCTAAGTCTATCCACTCTGTAAGTCATCTGGAAACTTGCACCGTCATTTCTTTTATATGCAAAATGGACACTTTTTCAGAATATTCTACTAATCTCTATGTTACTTGCAATATTTTTCAATGCTCTAGGGAAATTTTACTGAAAACAATGTATGGAATTGTGGGCTAATTTTGTTTCCTTTTTTGAGTACTACCTTGGAATACCACTTGTGTGATCTGCTGAGGACACTGTCTGTAATATGCCTTTCCAAAAACAGGATTTCCAGATGATAATTCCACAGGTTACAGGTTTAGGCAGAAATGCATTTACATAAAGCAAAGTTACAGATATTTTCAAAATTAAATTAGGGCTGAGCCAATTAATCTAAAAAAATCTAAAAAGGTAAGTAATTCAAAAACCTAATGGAGACCTTTAAATTCCTGAGATTATTACCCATCTCAAATTCCTTTCCCTTCACAGAGAACATAGGGAAATTATATTTAGCCACACAACACAGTGATTTCATCAATATTATCTGAAAACATAAATATCATTCCACTTTTCTGAAAATATGCTTTTCCTGTATCTTCCAAGTGAGCAGTTTCTGGTGATGCATAACAAGAGCCTACTTGTGTTCGTAAAAGCTTTTTAGTTTGCATAAAATGTATAACCACAATGTTCCACCTTTTACCAATAAAGCTATTTTCCCATTAAGATGTTGTCTAGCTAATCAGCTTCCAAAGAGATCTGGTAAGCTGACTAGCCCCCAGTTACTAAAGCAGATGGCCCAGCCCTAAACTATTTTTGTTTATAAAATAAATAGCATTGAAAATCTTTCTTTTCTAAACACTTTTCAGTTCCTTGTCATGCTCACACACATGTTTCTGGGTTAGTTACAACTTCACCATTTTTTTCAGGCTCATCTTTCAGAAACTGCTCCACTTCAATAGAGTCCACTTTGGCATCTTCAGGAGTTTTGTTTTCAGATTTGTTTAATTCCTCTCTTTCTGCTGCTTCTTCTTTTGTATGTGGTTCTTCTGATTTTTTCTTAATGCAGAAGAAATTTCCCAAGGCCAATACAAGGGCTGAGGTGGTAACTTCAATTCCAGCAGTAATGAAAACAAACATGTACCTCCCTGTTGCATCCAGGAGTTTTCCTGAAAAAGGCAACATTCCAAATAGTTAACAAAAGTTACTATCTTGCAGTGAATATTTTTCTGATTTTTTGAAACATTTTGACTTTCCTGTCTAGAATCACCATGACTACCTAACCAAGTTTTTTGAAATAGGATTTAAACAAGTTTGTAGCAAAATACTTCTCAATTATTTCAGTTCAGCTTAACAGTCACCGACACTACATGACATACCAAAACACATACTCTGCTGCACACACAGAGGCATGCAGTTCATCTGAAATAAAACCAGCCTCACCTTCAGATGCAAGAGATCAAACACATGCTTTGTATTTCAGATAAAAATGTGTGCATCCCTGGATGGGATCTATGTTATCTGTATCATGTCTGATCATTGTTACCCTTTTGCTCCCAATCTCATTTACCTTTCTACACGGGTAGTGCACTGTCTGCTTAAAATGCAAATCTTAGTAGTCAGTCTGAAGTAACTGACTGATTCTGACACTGGTAAAGGTAAATTTAGGATCCACAGGACTCAGTGGATGTGAAAGAACAGGTGGGAGGATATCAAGGAAGTGCCACTCCAAACCTGAAGATCGGAGGAAGTAGTGCATAATACTGGTTTTCCCATTAAGGGGGTTTTGTCAAAAATACCTGATGTTTTTAGTGTCTGATATAAACAGTAAACATCCTATGGCAGTGACCTGGTGGGTTTTGGGAGGGAAAGTGTGTTTCAGTTCAGGGTCTGTAAAATGTATGTTCTTTGATTAGTAATTTGTATTTTGACTTCAAATTAATGAATTTTGCTATTTTGTCGTGTCCCCTTATTCCTGGGTTGTAAGACGTGCTATAGAAGAACTCTACCTTCCTTAAATCAATCCAGTTTTATAGTCTTCCTTGTAAGATTTTTTTTCTTCCTTGAGATATTTTCTTTCCTCCTCCAAATCTACCATGGGTATAGAGAATGTATCCTATTACTTCCCTATTTCCCAAAGAAAATTGACAGGTTTCATATTCTGAATCCCAGTCAGCTATCTACCAATAAGAAATTCAGTGCAGAGTTTCAGAGGAGAAATAGCAGCATCTCCACATGGCAATTTAAGCAATCCTGAAATAGAGCCAAGAAGAAAAAGGTTTGATCCATTCCTTCTTGGAGTATTTCAGAGTATAGCTGCAGAAAGCTTTTGAAACATGTGCAATACTAGCACAATCTGCGTCTCTCAAGTGACTCACATCTTTTTCTCAGCTCCCTTATGTTTTTGTAAATTAATGCAATGCACACAATTTTAAATTCTGAGCTAAATGTCATACTTGCCTGCTGATGGTGGACCAATCAGGACAGCCACAGCTTCTGCCAGGAGCACTAAACCGATAGCACTGGAAAACTTCTGTGTACCAACAATAGCCATGAGAACTTCAAACTGAAGAGCACCTACCATTCCATAAGAAATGCCAAAGAAAATGCAAAAGACCACCAGCCCACGATAATCAACAGACATAGAACCCATGAGATCTGTAAAGCCATTAAAAATCATAGCAAAACTGAAGAGGTAGACACAGCGTGGTCTAACCCATTTATGACCAGCTACCATTCCACAGATTGGGCGAGCAAAGATATCAATGAATCCCAGAATAGTCAGAAGAAAAGCTGCTTTGGTGTCTTGATACCCTAAATCCTTGGCATAACTCACAACAAACACTGGAGGAACAAAGAGACCAAGCACCATAATAGATGCTGCAAGCGTATAGATGACAAAACCACTGTCTTTAAACACACTGAAATCCAGAAGTTTTTTCTTCACTTTCTTCTCAGCTGGCTCTTTGGTAGCTTCAGCCTTTTTGGGTGGCTCCAAAGGTCTCATTAGTGCTCCACATACACAGCAGTTGAGCAGCATCCCACCCAGGATAAGGAATCCTCCTCTCCAGCCATACTCATGCTGTAGTATCTGCCCCAACGGTGAGAGAGCACACAGAAACACTGGGCTCCCAGCAGCAGATAGCCCATTGGCTAAGGGCCGGCGTTTGTCAAAGTAACGGTTTAACATGATGAGTGAAGGCTGGAAGTTTAGTGCCAAACCCAAACCTGTGGTAGAGGGTACATAAAAATTAATACTGGCCTACAATGTCATTGTTAAAGATACTCTAATTGCAGTTTTCCTGATTCATGACTTAAGAGAAAACAGTTTTATTCCAAATGGACAAAAGAAACCTAAGATAACACAAAGTAATCTACCCCCGTAGTATTCTTTTACTTTATGATTACATGTCATGCTATTAAACATTTATAACAAAAATTAATGGCCTTTTAATTCCACATTTTTCTGCCATCTTTATAAAAGCCCAGCTGGATGATCCTTATGCTTCAGGTATTTTTCACTTAAACAAAACTTCAGCCTAAAGGTAAGACCTAAGTGAACTGATTTTCAGCATAGTACTTACCGGTAATCACACCTGCAGTTAAATAGATTTGGACGATGCTTGTGCAGAAGGAAGCTATCACCATCCCCATTGAGGCAAAAAGGCCACCCACCAGCATGACAGGGCGACAACCGAAGCGATTGACGCACACGCTACAAAGTGGACCTAGGCAAGAAAAGCAAGTTACGGTTGCTAAGATAAGCCAACTTTTGCAACTGATTTTTGACACTTTGTATTTCCTTGGTAGAGTTCAAAGTGTAACATTCAAGGTTACACAATGATCTTAAAGGTCTAAGGTTTTTCCAACCTCAGTGGTTCTGACTAATTTTGTATTTTGTCCATAAAGTCAGGCCAATCAGGAAATTGTCCTTTCCTCTGTAGTCAAATACTTAAATCTTTTTTGTCTTCAGAGTGCCTTGTGATTTTTCTTTTTCATCAACTTTAGCAACTACTGACTTACAAAGATGTAATTTTAAATAAACTGGATGGGCTTAAAAAATCTTTTGATTTATGTGATTAATAGTAATTATTCCTTGGAGTGCCTTATTTGCACACAAGTAATGATATGCAGTCATAATACAGACTGTAAATGGCTGTAAGATTTACAAAATTAATTGTATGACTCAATACTGTTTCAAAACCAGATAACTACTCACCTGTTCCATAAAGCATGGCCAACAGAATGGAGGAAATCCATGCAGTGTCACTATATCCAATGCCAAATTCCCGGATAAGTTCTTTAAAGAAGACACTAACTGCCTTAGGAAAGGCATAGGAGAATCCTGTGATGATAAAACAGCCAAAAAGGACAGCCCAGCCCCAGCCTCCATCAGGGGCTTTAACACCTGACGGACCGTCATCAGCTACTACAGCTCCCATGATGAAGAAGCTTGTGTGTTCCCTAAGAAACAAAAAGCAATTAGTATCTCTAAAATTACACTAGCATTTAAACTAAGGCATGGAACTACTTAAAAAAAGTCTTGAAAATGCAGTGCAATTTTAACTATTTCTTGTTTGAGTTTAGTTTTTACAAAGCTTGCAAAAATACGTGAAAATGAGATGCACACAGCTGAATTTTAAATTAATGGCCCTGCACAGCTCTAAAAGTCAGAGTTGGATTTGATCCAAATCACTGCTTCATTAAAAAAACAGAAGTCATAGCAGCATTTCAGGAGTGTATCTGGCTTTCAAAAATATGTAATAATTATTGCATTAAAGCCTGCAGGATTTTTTATGTAAGACCTTGTTTTACATGAAGCTCCTGGCCTATTCACTTAGGAGACCTGGTGCATCACAAGTGCTCTGTGAAATGGTGAACTAATCACCCAGATTTTTTATTCCCCACTGAGGACAGCTGTACAGCCATGATACACTGTAATCTTGAACAGATAGAAAGATCCCTTTGAGATGATGATGATGAGCTATCATTTTTCACACATCAAGCTCAAATGCTAAACTGCAATGAAAATCCCCAGAGCCGTTTTTGTGGATGCTGGGAGTTAGTAACTGAAGCAATGCTCAGTACAACTGCCTGCCTGAAGCAAATACTTCCCACTGTTGTTATTACATGATCAGTAAGAAAAAGCAGTATTTGATGAATCTTGGCTCAAATGTATAAATAACAAGAATATAAAATTGAAACACTTCATGGGGTATTGTCACTCACACTAATTTCAAGTTGTCCAAACATTTCATTTTCAGTGAAAGTTTAAAATGTTGGGGGAAGGATTGGGCTGTTTTCGTTCGTTTCCATTACCCGTCTAATAGCAACACAGAGTTAGTAATAATACATGCAAAAACAGCAACTGGCAATCTCTCCAGACTGCTTATACAGTGCTGGGTGGGACATTCAGTGCCTTACAGCATCCACCTCTGCGAACAGACTGGGACAGTCTCCTTTACTGCTGTAAAGGCCAGCCTCTGCAGACCTACAGGGCTGAACCCCGATAGCAAACTACACCCATGCCATATGAAGCGGCGAGTGGCTTTGAGAAGAAACAGCGTTAAGAACTATTTGGCAGCACGCTTTTCCTTCCAGAAGAGAACCGGCCAAGATTTTCGCGGGGAGAGAAGCCAGCTCGGCTGGGCGCAGCTCGGGGACGCCGCGGGTCCCGTTCCGCGTCCCGCCCTTGGAGCCGGGGCTGCCGGAGCCGCCGCGGCCCCGCGTGACCCCGCGCGGTGCCCGGGCCGGGGCCGCCGCACGGAGACGTGCGGGACGTGACTCCCGGGCGGGGGCGGCGCCGCCGCCAGCTGCGCGCGCGGCCCGGGCGGAGCCGCGGCCGCGCCCCCGCAACCGCGGTGCGCCCACAGGGCAGGGAAACATCCTCCTTATCCTCCTTCCCGGCCGTTCTTGAGCTCTTCCATGCTCAGCAGAGCAAGTCGGCCTGTAAGAGACACATTCCGTAGCACCTGCCTTACAAAACATACCAGCTTTGCCATGAGGCGCAGTCTCTAAAACGGTTTTATATTTTGCTGTGATGAAAGAGCAAAACACACTTGCTGATGTGAGGGAACCTGGCATACTTTCCAGCATTTCATAAAAATAAGTCTACAGGGAAACACACAGTAATATCCATTTACTCTTCTTTACATCATATCTACTACCACATTCGGCTAAAAATCACCATAAACCGGCACACCAGATCTTCAAGTGCCATCCTTTCAAGAGCTGTTCACACACATGCCTCAAAAACAACTGTCTTAAAGGGAAAGGCTGAGAGAATCCGGATGATTCAGCATGCAAAAGAGGATGCTCCGGGGAAGCTTTTTTGCACCTTTCCAGTGCCTGAAGTGGCTACTAGAAGGCTGGAGAGAGGCTTGTTACAAGGGCATGCAGTGATAGAACAAGGGGGAATGGCTTCAAACTGACAGTAGGTTTACATTAGGTATTAGGAAAAAATTCTTTAGTGTGAGAGTGATGAGACACTGGCAAAGGGCCCAGAGAAGCTGTGGCTGTCTCATCCCTGGAAGAGTTCCAGGCCAGGTTGGACAGGGTTTGGAGCAATGTGGCCTAATGGAAGGTGTTCCTGCCCATGGCAGTAGGTTGGAACGAGATTAACTTTAAGGCTTCTAACCCAAACCACTCTATGATTCTACAATCAATGTTATTCATCTGGTTTTGTCCATTGGTTGTTCATGTTAACACATCAAAATAACTAAATGAACCCTGTATTCATAAACACAGCAAGAATGCACTTCATCCTGTTGTGGTGTGCCTTACTAGGCTGAGACTTTATTCACCTCTTTAAGAGGGGAATAAGAAATAATAAGGAAGTAGTGTGGAGGTTCCTTTGCAGAATGTATAAACAAGGGGTACCACCTTCAGAAAAGGCAGGCTTGTGGCTGATCTGCACTGGCAAAATCTTTACTTAGGATTTCACTACAGTGCTGGGATGCCATCAGACTGCTAAGATAGGAGGCTACTGCCTAACTATTGCAACAGCTTGTTTTGCTTTCTGCTTTTGCTAGCTCAGCCCTATTTAGAGGCAAAGGATTACATTTAACTTGCCGTAGCTCAGTTTCCTATCTCCACAACAGACATGATAGTATTGTCAGTATTTATTCAAGCTTCCTTCTATCATGAATGGGTTCTTGCTTTGGTAATGTGCAAAATGAAGGTAGCATCTGGGGCTTCATCTTCCTGATATTATCTTCTTGTTGTCATGGAAACTAATATAGACTCAGTTAGGAGGAAATATTAGGTAGCATTGTGGGTGGTGTGATGGTGTGGTTTCTGGGATGATGTATATAAAAAGTGAACACTTGTATTATAAAAAGGAGCAGCTAGAAATGGCAAGAATCTATTATTTGTGTTTAGCCACTACTCTTATTGGCAACATACCTGTACTTCATGGTCAGCAATATGGGTAGGAAGGACATTTATGAGCATATACACTGACCTATATGGCTTGAGAATGTCATGTTCTCAAGAATAATTAATTTCTTCTAACTATGGCTGAAATCTACACAATCTTGAATTTCCATGATACAAATAAAAGACGGTTATCAAAACCAGAACATAAGCTTCCAAGCAGGGAACCCAGTTCAGCTTAGACTTCAGCCTGGAGCCACACCCAGATGAGAAATGTATAACTACAAAACAAGGAAGATGGTATAAGCTGAATAATGTAGACGACCTCCTTCAGTTTTTCTTGTCTGTGAAACAAGGAAAATAATGATTCTCTCTTCATAGTGTGTTGGGGGTATGAATACCTTGAAAAGCATAGGCTGCTCAATGCTGTGTTTATAGGAGTTATACACCTGTATTTTCCCAAAGATATTAAAATCTCAGCAGACTAAGCAAAATATGCATGTTATTCTTGATTTTAAGTCGGGATTCCTAAGACTAACCAACTCCACTGAAATTTTTCAGGAAATGATTTCTGAAAAAATGTTTTTTATTTTAATATTCTCCAGACCCTTATGATAGACCTCTACATAAAGAACAACTACCCTTTGTATTGAAATCACTGAGATGTGCCTATTCAGCATGATTTAACTCCTTCCTGCTTATCTAAAGTACAAATGCATAAATCTTTAAATCAGATTTCCTTACAACTCAGGTACCTCATAGAAGCCATTTAGATGGGTCACTGGTATAACCCACTAGTGCATTTCCTGTGGCTTATCTGCTTAAATATTAGCCAGTTGAATTATATGTTCATTCCAAAGGCTGCTGCAAATTCTGTTCCTACAAAATCATTACCATATTTATCAATGCCTATCCTGACCTCCTGTCCTCCCTGCAAGGCCCCACAGTGATTGCCACTGTCCCATTTTGGCCTCCTCTATTTCAAATGAGACAATTTTCCCAGATCTGCCGCTTTTCTTAAGGGTTTTCCAGTTTTCCCCATTCTCTCATCTCACTCTTACAACTCCTAGGATAATTCTGTGCTGTCTGTAGCTGCAAGTGATGTTCCATATGAAATCGTGACTATTAATCATTCTCCAGTCCCCATTAAGCCTCAAAACATCTTAGCTGTTCACTGCTGCTGCACAGTGAGTAATATTCATCACAAGTTATTAGCAGGCTGCACTTATAGTAAGTTCATACTGCAATTTTGTGTGTAGCAGATAATGCTAACCAGTCTAAATTCTTTTATCTGGGTAAACTGCTCTACAGGAAAGCTGTGACTATTTATTTGCTTGTTTTATTTTATATAATGAAAAGTTGGCAAATCCCAGCCTCAGTCAGGAACAATTACAATTAATTTTCACGTATCATGAAAATTAATTTCAGCCCTGCAGCTGTGATGGCTTTGCAATGTGTTGAAGCTTTAGAAAAACATAAATATTTGACAATTGCTTATAGTGAAGAAGTGTCCTTATATTGTTTAATATAAACCAAAAAGTGACAGAGATAGATAATTAGTAATTAAAGACTAGTCCTGTCACCAGCTGGGCATCTCTGCTTATTTTTGCAGGCCATAATGGAACTACTCTAATATATAAAGTGCTCCCATGCACACGCGTTATATCTCAAGCTAGGTGAGCACATGTAGCTGAATATAGTCAGAAAAGATCATCTGGCTCAGAGGTGTCATTTTACAAAATCACTTTGGACAGTGCAGCTGCATAACAGGGTGTCATACATTGAGATATGAGAACTGCCACTTCAGTCACAATTTTAAATGCCACCTTTTTATTTATATAATATACCTTGAGTTATACTTCTAACTGAGCCACAAAAGGTGTACTGCACTAATAGATTCTGATTCACATTTTAAAACGTCTGCCACACTGCTTCCTCTGAAATAAACACTGCAAAACCGTACATAACTTTACTCTGTGACATCCTAAATTGAACGGTTTGCCCAAGAGGAGTGCATTTCCACTAGTGCTAACGGTCTGCGCCTGTGAGGAAGCTGAATTACTGAAATTCAACTTCGCCTTTGTGTGCTTTTTCCTTCTCTCCACTGAATTGCTTAGAAGGCAAGCCGCAGACCCCTCCAGGTCGATGCGAGCAGCATCAAAAAAAGGCTCTTTGCCAAGAGATGGAGAGGGGCTGTGGCGGCACCGCGCGGGAGGAGGTGTAGGGAGGACAGTGGCGGCGGTCGCGGCATCGTCACGGCCACGGCGGCTCGCGCGGCGCTCCGGTGCGGGCACGTAGCCCGCGCAGCCCCGAGCCCAGAGGCTCCCGAGCAGCGCTGGGGCCGCCGCCGCAGCCGATGCTCACCCAGACCAGGGAGACGCCGCGCCCAGGCGCCCCACCGCTCTCCGTGTGCCCGCGGAGCCGAGTAATGGAGTTCATGCCCGGGGCTGCGATGATGTCCTTATGAGGGAACAATCGCTCAGACTGCTCGTCGCCCGCTTTGAAGAACCTGAACGGTCACCGCTATGACAAAAAATTTCGAAATTCGCCTCCGGGGGCTCGACACCGAAACAGGAGGTGAGCAGAAGCGAAGGGACCGCGGAGGCGAGAGACTCTCGTCCCCCAATAACGGTGTGAGGCCACGAATGGCGGAAACAAAGCCCGAGCTCGCGGGTGTCCCACGGGTCGCCGGTGTGGCACTGTACGTGCCCTCGGGCCGGCGGCACTACACGCCCAGGTGTGACCCGGCTGCCAGAGGGGAAGCTGGGGGCAGCGCTCTCTCGTAGCAGGCGGCTGGGCTCGGTGGCCAGCACCGCTCAGCGCCCGGACAGCGCTTTCAGGCCGGTGGCGCTGAGGACTTTGAGCGACCCATACAGCAACGCGGCTTTCCCTACGAAGAGGTGCGCCCGCGTGGCCCCATGAACGAGGTAAAACGCAGCCGGCGGGACGGCGCCCCGCCGATCCTAGTGAGAAGGTGCCAAGGGGTGCGAGAACAGTAGGCGTCGTGCCCGCGTCCCCATCGGCGCCCAGCGCAGCCTCTGGGCAAGGGATGAACCCGCGATTCCTACGCCACGCTCTGGCCAAAGCTTGGGTGGCGCTCGGGCTCATCCGCTGGCCCGGATGAATCCCACGCAGAGAAGTGCCCTCGGCCAGCCCGACGCGCTGGATTCGGCTCACCCGGCTCCGGACCCCCCACACCGCGCTCCCCACGCCGTTCGTCCGCGTGGGCCAGGCAAGGACTCCGCAACAACCCGCACGACGGCTCCGTCCCAGTACCTGAGTCACGTCCCGCGTTTCAGCGTGAAGATGCCCGTGCTGGCGCCGGAGCGCAGCCCGCTGTCCCCGTGTGCCCACGCAGCCCCGCCGGAGCCCGTCTGGTCCCACCGGCTGGGAGCGCTCCCGCGCGGCCGGTCCGTGGCTGCTCGCCCCGCCCTGCCACGCGGGGCGTGCCCCGGGTCCTATCGCCACCGCCGGGACTCTCCCTCCGCTGCAGCTTCTTCGGCGCGGGGTCCCCGACCGCGTGCAGCGCGGCTCCGCCGGCGCCGGCTCGGAGCGGAGCCCCGGGGCCTCACAAGGCATCAGCACGAGCTTGGCGCTGCTTGCGTAGGGTGCAACGCAGGGTTGGATCCTGCCGGCGTGAATGCTGCACCGGCTGTCCGGAAGAACCAGACCTGAGCAGTGGACTTGAATTTATGAATGGATTTCTGCGGTTGAGGTTTGTTATGTGCTGACGTTTCTGTTTTCCCAGGAGCGATCACAGTTTCCTCATTGTCTCCTCCCATGAGAATTACTCTTAGGAGCTTCCTTGCTTAATTGTTTTCTTCTTAGAATTTTTGAGTGTGCATTCTTGTAGACAACCCCAGGCTTCCCTCCTCATCCTTTACCAAGGGAGTAAATATTATACTACTCCCTGCAAATATGATTTCATAACATACTCCTCCTTTCACATCCGGATAGAATGAGTTTTCTGCATTAATCTCTTGTGATTTAACTGAGATTGAGTTTATAGATTATAATCCAACAATTGGATTATAAAATTGATGTGCTGATATTGTTGTGTAACATCTATGAAAGTTGTGGGATTCACAAATGCAATACAGAAAGTAGCACTCCTATGGCTACCTGGTGTCGCTCTAATTCTTAAGATTTTCTAAAGCCTTCTGAGTTTACATTCTATTGGAAAACTTTCCCACACAGTTTCTGTAAATAACATATTGTTTTGCATTCCTTCATGGGGGTTGAGAAACTTGATGTACTACTGGTTTGTCCAATGTCTTTGGAGAGGTGGCCCATTCACTCTTCAATCCACTGTCACCTTTGGAAAAGATAAAAGTTGGAGTCAAAAAATAAACTTCCTTTTTTACCTTGCAAAGTGGCAAGTGGCTCGCGTTGTGCTTTCTCGTGTCCTATAGCGACAACCTGGGGCTTAGAAAATTCATGAGTAGGTGCTCCATTCTTTTGTGTGCTTTAGCACACAATCCAACATACAGGGGAATGACACAACACCTAAAATCCTGTGTTTGGTTTTCAGCCCCTCGGGACAAGACAAACATTGAGGGGCTGGAACATGGCCAGAGAAGGGCAGCAGAGTTAGGGAAGTCTGATGGACAGTAGCTGAGGGAGCTGGAGAGACTCAGCCTGGAGAAAAGGAGGCTCAGGGGACACCTTACCACTCTCTACAACTACCTGAAAGGAGATTGTACCAAGGTGGACATCTGTCTCTTCTCCTAGGTAACTAGTGATAGAACAAGAGGAAATGGCCTCAAGTTGTGCCAGGGGAGCTTAAGATTGGATATTAGGAAAAATCTCTTCTCCAAACAGGTTGCCAAGCATTGGAATGGCATGTCCATGGAAGTGACGTAGTCACCATCCCTGGAGGTTAACAGCTAGATGCAATGATCTTGGAAAAAAAATATTTTCTTAATGATTCCATGATTCCTATAACCTATGTGGAATTACACAGTGGTAGGATTCTAAGTAGGAGAGGATAGGTAGGATACAATATTGTCTTTTGAGAACTATTATATTGCACAGATTAGTAGCTTCCAATTTAAAATCTACTTGCTGAAATCATGTAATACCAAGGCAGGAACTGAAGCTATTTTAATGACTTAGAAGTTTTTTCTTTTCCTTGCACATTATGTTTGCACTGGCTATTGGTTAATTTTTGCTGCAGTATAGTACCCATTTGTACATGTTTAAGGATTCATTGCATTAATATGTGAAGGTGAAAAAGGCCATGTGGTTTATTTTGAGTAGATAACATACAGCCAATAAGACTGACACTGCTAATCTTAAAGACTAGTAAAACCAGTTTTTGACTGTCCACTATTATCTGAATTTAGGCCGTTCACTTGCAGACTAGGTGTATTCACCTGAATTGACATTGTGTAGACTGTAATCTTTTTTTACTCACCATTAAAGTTTGTCTGTTCAGGGCACTATTGAATCACTGCAAGTTACCAATTACTCATTTAGGGAACTAACAAGCATTTACGAATGTGACTGGGGGCTGATTGAAGACATACTGGAGAACATGACAGCTAATTTGAAAGGGGGGGCAGGGGTGAAGAAGGGTTGAAAAGATAATGGGGTTGATAGGTTAGGCAACGGCTAATATAAAGAATTCCAGCAGTCAGAATAGTGTATGGATTTAGACATTAGCCTATTATGTGCTGATTCTGATGAGTGCTCTGAGGGGCCCATTGGACAGTATAAATCATGCCAGGACTTGCACGATAATTTTTGTGTGTCCAGATGTAGAAAATAATTTTAATCTGGGTTTCACCATTGAATTTTAAACCAGAGGTGATTCATATAAGTAAATGAACTAAATCCTTTTAATAATTGAAGTATTCTGTAACTATAATTAGCTAAATGGAAATTGCCTTGTTTCAAAAGTCAAATTGTTAGTTCTGATTCTCATTTTCATTAATAGTTACTGGTGAAAATAAACCCCTATATTCTTTAACTGGCATGGAGCTAGAACACACAATTCTCTTCTGATGACATAAGGAAAATTATATAACTACTGATAATGCTCTATCTTCTCTAAATTATTGTACTTTAGGTATCATTTGGGTGCAGCATTTGAGTTTCTGGAAGGCAAAAGCTGTTTTGTGTGATCTAGAAAAACAGAAGAATGACAGAATATTACAGGAAGTTTGCCTCATGACTTCCAGATAAGCACCTAATGTAGAGTGACTAAGGGAAAATCATGCTTTAGGCCTGCTGCATGTGTAACGTTCCTCTATCTCATCTATACGGTGTAAAGCAGTTTACTTGATGGGTACAGTTTTTAATAATTAAGTGCCTTGATGGCAGAATGTGTTTATCTGTTCTGCATGATCTCGTGTTGCAGTTGGTCTGAGTTTGTTTTACATGCTTTTTAGTTTTTCACATGATGCAGTAGGAGTGCATAGGAAGTTTGTTCACATCCGTAACAGCTGTACTTGAAAGGGGCAAAGCGTCTCCTTCCTGATCTGCGCTAAGGAGAAATTGTTTAAAATAACGTTTTGTTGGATAAACAAAATTTATAGGAAGACAACTGAACAGGAGAATGAGATCTGGGAGTATGGGACAAGTACTAGCTGCGCTTTGGGAGAAGGGGGTCTCACTGAAGGAGACCGGGGCTGCAAAGGAGTGTGCCCGTGCTCACACGATCCAGAGAAGAGGCTGCTGAGAGTAGTGAGCGCGGAACGGAGAGACTCCGAGGAGCAGAAAACACGCTGCCGGGCTCCTGGAAGTGAATGCAAAGCGACGACCTGAGACACAGGAGGGGCGGCAGGCGGGGCCTGGCACCGCCTCCCCGGGCGAGGCGGACCGGAGGGGCCGCGCGGGCTGTGCCATGGAGACGGGCCTGCTGCCCGGCCCGCGCGGCCCCGCCGCGGCTCCGGAGGCGGGAGCGGCCTGCTGCCGGCACCGGGGCGATGTGGAGGTTCGTGCCGTCAGGAGGCGAGTCGCGACTGGGCTTCTCCATCGGAAAGAAGTGCGCTCGCACAGTTGTGCTGCAGGTTGTCCTTCGGAGCTCCCGATGCGTCGCCTGCGCATCTCGCGCCCTTTTCTCTCTCTGGGGCCCCGCTGTTTTTCTGCACCCTTCCTGCTAATGCCCTGTTTTGTCCTGTCCCTAAGTCCAGAGCATTATCTTGTGCTGCTCTCTACTGCCTACATCTAACGGGTTTGACCTCGACGGTCTGCCTGCCATCTGCTCTTTTGCCTCAGAACATCTAACCCTCAGAGCCCTCCAAGGAACCCTTCCTTGTGGGGTCTGCTTCCTGCCAGGCAGTCCTTTGGTCAGCAGTGTTGTCTTCTGCCGACACTCGACACTCGAATGTCTTTTCCCCCCTCTGTGCACTTCAAATTTAATTAATCTTTTTAATTGTGATAGCCATCTGATCTATTTGGAACAACTGTAGCTGAAAGTGTGATACTGAAAGAGCAGATCTCTCAATGTTGCATGTTATAGGCAGGGAGGCAGTACCGTTCATGAATATCCATAATAGTGACTTTTTACAAAATCATCTACTTCTCCTTACCCAAATGAAGAAGATGTTACTTACACTATCTGTGCACGGTAGCATGATTTGAATGTTGCCAACAAAAGTCAGAATATGAAAACACTATTTTAATTAACTTAGGGATAAATGTGAAATCTTGGCCAGCAGGATTCAAAGACCATCAGATCATTGTGTCCTTCAGCATGGTTTGTTCCTCAAACTTGAATTTTTTTTACTTCTTGCATCCAACGATCAGTGACTCATTTTTCAATCCTAGAAAAACTGGAGTTGTCTAGATTGTGAAGAAAAATGTTATTTAAATTATGACATCCTTTAGCACAGAGATATTGCATAGCATTTTCTGGTCTGAAAATCTCTCATTTAAATAGATTAAAGAGACACTATTTGAAAGGCATGCTTGTCCCATTTGTTCTCTGCATTCCTGTGCTTATACAGAAGGGATTCTCTGCAAGCAGTGACACAGAATAATACTGTACAGTGAGAGAAGCTATATTGACTCCAGGGATTTTCCCAAATCTCTGGAGAGACCTGAACAGAAATTTTTTTTTTTAAAGCATCTATACTGCTTAAAAACAATGTTGTTGTTGTTTTTTTCTTGTTTTTACAGAATTTTTAGTCAGTTAAGAGGCAAATATGGATAATAAAAAATAGGAAGAGGTGGATGTGAAGCAAGTAAAGAGTTTTGCACGTAAAAGCACAGGCTCTCTCTGGTGGTTATTTTCTTTTTAACTAAAAGCAGACAAATTAGACACAGCAGTTAATATTGTTAATAAAAGAGAGGGCTGGACTCATCATACATATCTTGAAGAAAAGACAAATGTGTGCAGCTTGCAGGGTGGAGGGAATAAACACTTATTTCTTGTCCTGTCTGCACATAATTCTTGTTTAATGTAATCTCTGTCTTCAGAAATAAGAGTCTCTTGGGGATTATTCTCTACTTAAAATTGTAATTGTTGTAAAATGCTGTATACTGCTGGTTCCAACTACATTTGTAATGTAGAGATGGCTGGGTAAGTTTTAAGTAATTTTTTTTTGTTATTGTGGGTGATCTGAGCAAGACTCTATCAATTACTAAATGATTGATGTTAATGTGGTGTATATGCAAATTCATTTAAAGCCAGTTTAGGAGTTTTACATGGAGCATATCCTTTGGGAATTTGAGTCTCTTAAACCCAGCAATTGCCTCTTTGCCAGACTGAGCTGGATACTGATCACAGAACGGCAGTCATTCTTCTGATCTGCCTTGCCCTTAAGGGTTTGGGGATGAGCAACGAAGGTGGAAAATGTATGTCTAGAGTACACTGAGACGGCATTTCTGATAGACTTGGTTTGTACGCATGAGTGCTGGCTCTAGGATTCAGAACTTCAGGTGAAATGTAAATTTAAAAGCAAAATCTAACAGAAAGTGAAAGTGAGTATGCATTTAGCTGTTCATTACTCTCCAGTTTTAGTTCAGAGTTTTGTCTTTGTAGGTATTATATGATCAGTCTTATCTTACCAAATGCAATGGTCATTCAGCTACACAAAAACATTGAAATCAAATAGAAGGTTGCAGAACAGCACGATAGCAATATAGGTTTGTTTAGTGTGTGACAGGCTGCAGCAAAACCATTAAGTCTTTAGGGGATTAATGCAGAGCTTTAAAGGTTCAGTGTATCTTTAAAGGACTTACTGGTCTTGGTAGCAGTATCAGCTCCCCAGATTTCTTTGAAATCCTGATGCTACTGGTATTCTTCCACTGGATCGCAGAGAAACTTTTTTATTGATAGCAATTAAAAATATTGGGAGAGGAGGGGAAAAGATACAGAGCTGATTCTATTTTCAAATGTATCTAAAAGATCAAATTTCTGCTGGTCGGCCCTTGTTTTGCAATTTTTTTCTTATGTAACAAAATTTTGAGTAGAGGAGGAACTCAGTTATACTTAAGTGGAGGTCTTGCACTACTTTTCAGCAGATCCTCTGTATTCTGTATGCAACTAACCTTTTGAAGGATTGTCTTGGGTAATAACATACTGTTATAATTGGTTTCCACTAACTCATGAGGAGAAGATGCTATGGTGCCTGTTTCTTTAGGAAATTACAGCATCCTCTATTTATAGTTACGTGTTTCTGTTCAAAAAATTTTATATGTGGATCCCTCATGCTTTTTAATGTAAATTTATTTTTGTTAGCCCTAAGAATAGTCACATAGGTCACCTGCATGAGGATTATGTGAAGCTGAAACTTCACATGGAGCAAAAGATTCAAGAACTGGAAGACGCTGATGACAAAAATCGGTATAAGAATGTTGGACAAGCAATGTTGTGTTGCTGCAGTGCCATCTAGCAATCATTTTTTCAATTTTATTTTTTTTAATTAGCATGTTTTGGTTTAACATTGCTATAGTTGTATAAACTTTTTTTTTTTTGTCTATTGTTTTATTTCTCTAAAAATTGATTACATTTGTAATTACAGTTTAGAAAATGATGTCTTGCTTGTGTAGTAGCTATTGTTGACAGCTCCCCCTTGTAAGGAATTGGTAAGAGTGTGTTTAGTAATGTGAGATTTTGTAAGATTATTTTATGTAGTAAGCACACTGCTAAATTTGTTAACCTTGAAACTACAGGAAAGGTAAGCATCTAAAAAGCAGAGGTAGCCTTAGGCAAGATGAATAAATGTACCCTATTTATCATACTCCTTATTACAAGGTGCTTTTTTTCCCCCTTCTGCTTCTTATATCCCTATGTTTCACCACAAAAGGTTCACATTACTAATAGTGAAATTTTATCTTCAACTGTGATATCTAGGGAGGCATTATACCACCTCCTTCTATATAACCAACTTTAAAGAAAAATGAAACTTTCCTTCTTTGTATAAAAATGTATTTGATATCGGAATTCCTTTTATTAATTTACATATGAATGTGTTTAGTCTTTAGAACGAGGGCATTTAATTTTTGTCCTGTCAACCAAACCTATATATACATGGAAGTAGTTTTGTTAAGCCATTGTGTCTTCTACCCAACACCTGCCAATCCAAGTCTTGCTGCCCTCACATAGTAGTCCTGCTAAAATAATGAATCTTCATCCAGGACTCTCTTTCTCATGGGCTTCCCAAAGACAGTTTTATGAACCTACCTGAAGAAGTATGAGAACCGGAAGAATATTTGATAACTGGCTTGGAAGTTATGGTGCATTGTGTGGTTGAACTGTAATGATAAAGCTGGTTAGCTGCTGTCCACAAGCGTAAAGCTACATCATCTCATACACATGATTTCTCTTACCGCACTGGAGCAGAAAAAAGTTATCTCCACTGTTTATGCTTACAACTAAAGAAGCACATCTTCCATGCTTGCTGCTGGATCTCCTGCAGTTATCCCCCCTAATCTAACATGATTTTGTATTAATTAGACAAAATCCCTTGTGATCTCATTCTCTTGTTTGCAGTTGTATTTTATCAATTTAATTCATCTAAGTAACTTCTCTAAAACATTTATTAAAGTACTGTATCAGTTTAGCCACTGGATGGCAGCTCACTGCAACCATTTAGTTTTCTGGAAAATCCATGACTTTTTTATGAACAGTTTTCCATGCACTTACAAAACATAGGTGTTGTGAGGCAAGAATTGCACATTTGTTCAGTGGTATCTTTACTGTTGTCTTTAATTTTCATGTTTTGGAGTAATTTGCAATGTTACTTTGGGGAGAATTTCACAGAAGAATGTACATTCTATAGTACTGTTCTTACTTGGGTTTGAAATGTAAAGTCTTCTAACAGCAGGTGATTTTTTTTTCCCCAAGACTGACAAACAGTATGACTGGTTTTGTTGTTTTACTTTAAATTAAAATTCAATGGCTATAAGGGGAGCAGGATGGGGGGAGGAGAGAAGAAGTTCTATAGTGTCCTGTCTCGCAGCAGCCCTCTTGTCACTTCATCTTCAGAGTGCAAAACATGGTAGTATTTTTCTAGCAACTTTTCAGTAAGGCTGTAGTTTCTTAAGTCTTCAGTAGTTCTGCAGGTATGCACTTTAAAGGCCTCTTGACTGTAGCCAAAACGTTCCTTTCTAATAGTACTGAATTGTTTTGCTTGACTTAAAAAGCTTAGACTAGTGAATGATGTACCTTTAAGTTGTTTTCATGTGATTTCACAGAGACTATTTTATACTGTTTCTATTGTCATTCTGCAAAACCAGAGGGAAACAGTTAAATTTTTTTCACCAGTAGATCCATTTGTATATGCGTGTGCACATAAGAAGGTGGATGTCCTTGCAGGTTATAGTAGATTGTACACTATAATCTGAAATGAACAGGGCTTATGCCTTTATTAATGTTCAGCTCACCCCTGCTGTTGTAGCTTTTTCCCAGTAGCTGAAGGGTGAGAAGGTGTGCAGAGCCTGTCCCTGGCAACTGTCCCTGGAGTCTCTGGCACACTGGTAGCTGGAGGTGTAGAGGTGTGCAGTCTGAATCTGAAGTCCCAGCAGACTGTCCTCTCTCCTTTCCTCCTGGCACACTGGTAGCAGAAGGGTGAAGGGACCACTGGGGTCTGTTGCTGAAGTCCAGCAGCAGCTGTCCCGTCTCCTTCCCTCCTGGCAACACCAGGAAGATATGCTCCTTTGTTCCTGCTTCCCACAGCCCAGTCCAGTCTGGTCCTCTGCAGGCTCTGGTGACAGGTTAAACACAGACTAGAGATGTGGTTCCCTTTTCTCCAACCAGCACACCCATCCAGCCCCCTCCACTGTGCCCAGCCTTCCATTTTAGGGGTGTTTTTTATCCCCAAAACCCCCTCCCATGATTCCACTGGATTATTTTGCATCCAGGTCCTAGTGTGGGTGCAGGGTGTAGGTGAGATCCCCAGGAGCAATTAGCTAATTAACATTTCAATGTCAGTACATAGCCCAAGCCAAGTGTCCCAGCCAGGCTACTTTGTTCATAACAGATACTTTAAAAAGTATCTATTTAGATAATACAGATTAGATATATATTTTATAGATATGTAGATATATAGAGAGATAATATAGATTAGATTAATTATATATTAGATTATTATAGATAATATAGACAGATAAAATAGAACAAGGAAAGAAGATGTGGACAGTAAACAAAGCTGGATCAAACTAAACAAAACCAGACCCAAACAAAATAACCAAAAAATATCCACAAAACATCCTTAGCATTTATTCTGCTGAAATCAACAACTTTGCTCTGTGTATCATAGGTCTAAACAACAACTGGCTCTAGCAGCTGAGCGAGAATGGATTCTGAAACAGAGTAATATGCAAACAGAACTTAACTGGCAGCAGCTTTGTAAGAATGCTGAATGTAATTGGTATCAGAAATCAGAGGATCCAACATGCAGCCTATGTTCATCAAGAGAGGAGGTGAGAATTTCCAATTAACACTGTTTAAGAGTCATCTATTGCATAAAGAGCTATGGAGTCTTCCCACCATGGTGTTTTTCAGGGAAATATGTCTTCAGCTTTCTTTCAAAAATCTTAAAACAGTAATTCTGTATTGTGTACAGCAGTTCATCACATGTATTTTATCAGAGATCAGATTAATTTTCATGAACAATCCCTAATAGTGGCATTTTCTCTCATTCCATGTAATCAAGTTGGCTTGAGAGATGTTTTTCATTTGCCATAGAAGAAAGATGTCTCTTAGAGCAGCCCAAGGGCAGAAAGAATTTCAGATCCCAGTACCACTTGACAAGGGAACAATATTAGTCCTGAAAAGCTCTTGGGTATTTTTGTGTGGAAAAAAAAACCTATTTTGTGTAATGTGAAAACTTCAGCTTCTGAAAAATTAAATACATGTTTATTGTTTAGAGACTATTAGACAATAGTCTAACAATTCTCAATGCCCAGTTGTGCTAAACTCACAGGTACAGAGGAAACACTTGTTTCTGAAGTTCCTAGCATTTAGTCTAGTGTTTTATCATCATCTTTCCAAATGATTCATAGGCATCAATAGCTGTAGCATGTGAACACATGAGAGAGATAAATCAGCATTTTCCATTTTACATGAAGAACATAAGAAACATTTTTAAATCTTTGCAGACACATGTAGAATGAAGAAACAGCAAAAGTAAATAATATTGGGACCCTAGTATTCTGGTCTTTATATGCCATTGGTCCTACCAGGTATTTTTTCCTGAAAATGGTGCTGGAATTTCAAGTGACCAGAAAATGTGTTTTCCAATCAATGTTGTGTTTTCTAGATATTGTCCATTGTCCAGGTTATGTGGGTGTAGTCCATACACTCCTTCCCTTTTTTTTGCTTAGTAGAGGGCATCCAGCTTCTTTAGGTTTGCCTGGGGTCTGGTTTTTGGTTTGGTTTGGTTGGTTGGTTGGTAGGTTTTTTGATTTTTTCCCCCTGGAATTTTTTTCCCATTTGTTGTCAGGGAGATGGTGAATGGACATCGATCCACAGACAAAACACGTGGCCCTGGCACACCATTGTAATGGTTCTGGGGGAGTGGGAGAAGCGGGGGGGAGTGCAGTTATTCTGGCAGTTCTGGCAGTTTCTTAGCTGCGAGTGGGCATCTTTGCCCTGCTGGAAGCAGAGACCGCCGGCTTCTGAGTGTGTTGCTTGCAAGAGAGAAAGGGAGAGAAAGGAACCCTGCCGGGGCCGAGAGACCCGCACAGTCCCAGTCCCGGTGCGTGCCCGGGGAAGTCGCTCCCCCGGCCCCGTCCCGCAACCGCCGCTCGGACGGGCCGTGAAGCTGAAGCAGCGCGTCCGCCGGACCTCTTCTCTGTCCGGTAGTGGGACATGGCGGTAAAGCCCTGCTGCCCTTCCAAGCGTGTACCGGCTGCCCTTAGCGATGCCGAAGACCGATCACTGCTGGCGTGGTGCCTGGGGGATTCAGCCCTTCTTCCCTCTCTTTGCTCTGAGCCGCCGTCACCACTGGGGAGGTCCCGATCTCGCTGGGGAAGCCGCCCAGAGTCACTGCAGCCTACAGCGCCCCTTGCCGGTTGTCGTCGTAACTACACCAAAGGGGAAATGCTTGATGGGCGGATAAAGGCTGTCAGTAGGTTTTCTTCTCCTCGTGGCTGTTCGTTTTGTGTTGTTTTATTTATAGTCTAGTAAAGAACTGTTATTCTTTTTTCTATATCTTTGCGTGGAAGCCCCGTAATTTCGAATTCATAATAATTTGGAGGGAGGGGGTGATCTTTCCATTCTTCCATTCCAGGGATATTCCCATCTTCCTTGAGAAATATCTCTCTTTTAAACCAGGACAATGTTATTGTCAACAGATGATCTCCAATGGCACTTTCAAGAATTTGACAAGTCAGAAAGGGGACTGCTGTTGAGCCCATAAGTTCCTTTGAGGAGAGGGTTTACTTGCACATGGAAAAGAGATAAACCACATCCCCATGTGTACCTCCTGCTATGATGTTCTCAGTACAGCACATTCTTTCCCTGGCAAATCCTCAATAAAAAAACATTTATTCTCCTTCCATGGTACTTTTCTCCCACATATGTTCATGGGTTGAAAGTATTAGGATCTGTGTGTGTGGTGGTGTGGAGAGAATATGTGTTGCTTATTAATGAAGGGGTTTTTTGTCTTGTACTTTTATTTTCCAGATATTTCAGCATGATGATGAAAGTTCTTTGTGCAAATATAACCCTGCTTTGGAAATAAAAAAGCTGCAGGAACAGAATGCCAACCTTCGGGCTGCTATTGCACAAATGAGGGAAGAAATGGAGAGTCTTAATGAGCAGATGTTGTCTTCTGTTCCTCAAACAGAAGACAGACAGCTTGCAGAGCAAGGTGAAACTCTTGGCAAAGAACTTTAAATTCAGTTAAGGAAGTGTAGGAGTCATGGTCAAAACCATGAAGGCTACCATACACAAGAACAAAGTAGTCTGAGATTCTGTATTACAAATTACTACAAAGTAATTATTTGTGAAAAGAAACACACACACACTCTAAGTCACTACAAAATTACCACTAGAAAAGCAATCATGTATATATTTTGCAAGACTGAAGCAATTATATGTATATTTCAAGTTATGACAGAATTCCTAATAGTGAAGCCAGTATGCAGAATCACAGAATGGCTCAGATTGCAAGGGATTTTTAAAGATCTCCTGGTCCAAACCCCCTTGCCATGGGGGTTTGCAGTCCATTTACAGTATATCTACTGAAGTGGTGTACAAAAGGAGGTTCAGGGGGAACTTACCACTATCTACAAGGACCTGAAAGGGAGTTGTCGTGACGTGGAGATCAGTCTCTGTTTCCTAGTAATAAGCAATAGGACAACAGAAATTACCTCAAGTTATGCCAGAGGAGGTTTAGATTGGATTTTTTAAAATTAAATATTAAATAATTAAATATAAAAAATTTCTTTTTGAAAAGACTTATTAAAGCATTGGCACAGGCTGCCCAGGGAAATGGTTGAATCACCATCCCTGGAGATGTTTAAAAGGCATGTATGTGTGTGTGGACATTTGAAGACATGGTTTAGTGGAGGACTTGGCAGTGTTAGATCACTGGTTTCACTAGATGATTTTTAAAGGCCTTTTCCAACCTAAATCTATGGTTTTATATTTCTGTAACTAGACAAATTAGACATTTATATGCATGAGACAGTGTTCTGAAGCAGCTCTTGCTATGAAAGCCTAAACTCTATAAATACACATACATTCATATTATACTCCTCTTTTAGGTTCATTGAGCACAAACAAAATTTCAACTGGGACCACACTAAGCAACACCAAAATCTGTTCAACTATGCTGGATTGTATAATAAACCCAGACACAGAAGAGGTATGTTGAGGTTTAAACTACCTAAAAATATCTGTATCTTTGTGCATGTGTGTGTAATTAAATACCTAGTGTATTCTTTTTGTTTGAGTAAATATTATAAACTGAAGTAATATGTACTTATGTGATTGGTGAGATGAGAGCCAGCAAAGATTTTTTTACCCAAACTTATTCTTTCTAGGATATAAATTTTGACTAGTCATCCCTTGGCACAAGTCACTTCTGATCTTCCAAGCTGGTCTTGGGTTTTTTTCCCACTTGCAAAGGCTTAAGCTACTGTGTATCACTGCTTCAGGTTTTCGTTTGTAAATCCGTAGTCTTTTTTTTTTTTTTTTTTTTTTTTAATGCCGAGTGCAACTTGGTATGACTAGGAGAAAGTACCAAGCTCCAGTGCTGTCTTGGAGTGCTTACCTCCCACAAAGGAAGAACTCACTGGGTGTGGGACTTTTTACTCTGTTCAAGAGTTAACAAGCATCAATCCCACTGTGTTATTTTAAAGAGTAAGAAGAACAATATCAGCATTAAAGTGACAGTGACATATCTTAGCAAAAAATAATAATGGAATTGAAAACTGGGACAAATATCTAACACTATGTAGGGAGTAAGTCACTTTATGTTCTTCTCTTCCTGTCTCCCAGCAATATCATGACATAATGAAGAGTCTGAAATAAGACAGTTTAAAAAACAATTTTAAAAGTCAGGGTTTTCTAATTGTCATCTGTAAGATCTGCCAGTATCAGTTTCTTGCTTTAATCTTACTGTTAAAACCCACCTGTAACCATCTAAATTCAAGAAAATTGAAATAATAGCTAAGTAATAGATAAGCATGAGAGGTCCTGATTGAAAAGATAAGAGCTTTAAAAATTGAAACAATGGTTGTCTGTTCAGTGAATTATGACTATTTAAATGGCTATCAAAAAGTCTCCTCTGCGGGGGCTGGAAGAAGACAGTATATAAGTCTTGAAAAATAAGGATGCAATCTTTTGGGTATATACCTTACCATTATGTGTGTGTGCCAGTGGACTCAGGTTGCCAAAGTCAAAACAGATTGTAGAATCTTTACTTTGCAGTAAATGTTTTAAGTTGTATCTACCCGTTTTGTTTGTATGTACAAATGATTAAACAATGTACTCAATGATTAAACAAAGGTTTTGTAGCAGATTGCTATTTGGTATAAAGAGCTTTTTTCCACATTTTATCTTAAAATTAAGTGCTTTACAGTTATATAGTGTTTATCCTATGTGTATTATTTTGCACTTACAGTTGACAATATCTGTGGGAATGTCTGAGGCTGTTAGAGTGTCTTGCTTCACAGTTTAATTTGCCTTGTACTGCTAACAAAATCTTGAAAATGGGACTTAAAAACTGGACTGTAGCTTTCAATTTTACACTTTTTCTTCAACTGATCTCTCATGAGTATTTGTACAAATCTCTGAACCTGCAGACCTCACTTTCAAAATATTCATTATAAGCACTGTCTGTTTTATTTAGTGGCCAGAACCCAAAGTTCTTGAAGAAAACATGGTAAATTTTGGACAACAGCTACCTGATGTAGGTACTGGTATTTGTTGTCAATATAATGTCAAACACACTCTACAAGGAATGCAAAATAAACTCAAGGAAGCAGCAAGAAAAATTTCAATTCTGAGCCAAGAGAAGCGTCAGCTGATTGAAATGGGAAACAGACTCAGGGCAGAACTTGGAATGGTGTTAAAGGAAGGTAAATTTATTCTAAAGAAAAGTACTAGCTTATATATTTAGAATAAAATGGACAAGAAATTAGTTCATCCTTTGAGCTGGAGAAAGCTAGGCTTCATTATTGAAAAACTATGCTGGACCTGACTGATCCTTGATCTACATAGCTCATGTGAGACTGTGGCACTAATCCTTGCAAGTAAGATTATCCTGTGATAGGAGATGCTAAGACAGCACAAGAGTCTATGTAATGACTTCTGTTGATAAACATCTTAGAGGAAGAACTCCCTGGTGCCTAGAAGTCAGTGTGGGAACTGGAACTTTAAGACTTTGTTTATGAGCAGAAAAGGGGTAATGTATCTCTTGGAATAAAAACTAACACTTTAGGAAAGTGGAAGAGAAAGCAGAATCAGTTTACTGTAGGGTAAACTTGAATTAAGACTATATATAATGTAAAAAGATTTCACTGTGGATATCTAAGTTCCATGCATAGTTTTTCTGGCAATGAAATAAAGGGAAGAAAGCACAAGGCCCATTTCTGCATAGAATTGAAGCTATTTGTGATGAGAAGGCCTGTGTTCTGTGGTTCATTTATTATCTGCTGTAAACACTTGCTGGAAATGCAATAAGGTTGACAAAATATCAACAAAGAATGCCTTCCTCAGTATATTCTCTCCTTTATAGGAGTCTGGCATCCTGTTAGCTCTAAACACTGCACAGTTTGTATTGCCTCTGGTAGTCTTCTTCCAAGAGAACTTGTCAAAAGAACACAGTGTCAGCTATCAGTTCTAAAGCATCTACAGCACAGACTCACAACACAGGTAATTATATGCTGTTTGAAATTTAGCAATAATAAGCCATTAAGCCAGTTCTAATTCCATGAATATAACCTAAATTTCTGCATTTAAATTACTCTGAGTTTAGCTCAAATCTATCTTTGCAAGGTTCCATAGAATCATTTCATATTTGGAGCTGGAAGCAAGCCATGAGGATCTTTGCATCCTGATGTCACACAGGATAACCTAGAAGTTAAGCCATTTAAGTTGGGGGCATTATCCCAAATGTTTTTTGAACACAGAAAGGCCTGGGGCCATGATCATGCCCTGGGAGATTGTTGTACTACTTGACCACCCTCTCAGGGAAGAATTGTCTGAATTTTCCCTGATGCAGATTTAAGCCATTCCTCCACATCACTGGACACCAATACTCCTACTTTTCTTCCCCATCATGGAAGGAAGTTATAGAGGGCAATGAGGTCACCTGCCAGCCTTCTCTTTTTTAAGCTGAAGAAGCCAAGTATCCACTCCTCATAAATCTAGCCATCTAATCTTATCACTATCTTTGGACTTTTTTTTTCACCTCCTTTGGACCTTTTTATAATATTTCTGTATTTTTATCATATTGCGAAGCCAAAAATGCACATAGTACTTGAGGTAAAGCCATATCAATGCTGAGCACAGCGGGACATTCACTTCTTTTGGCCAGTTAGCTGTGCTATGCTTAACACACTGAGGACACAGCTGGCACTCCTGGCCACCAGGGTACACTGTTGACTCATGCTGAGTTTGCCAACAATCAAAACCCCCAGATCCCTTTCTTCAGGGCTGACCTTCAGCCTTTAATCCCTCAAATGTATACAGACATCTATGCCTATAGTCCCAGGTACAGAATACACTTTTTTTGCTCTCATTAAATTTCATGCAGTTGGTGATTACCAAGCGTTCCAGTCTATCAAGGTCTCTTTGTAAGGTCTGTCTACCCAGAAGGGAATCAATGAGTCCTTCTCATTTAGTATCATCAGCCAATTTAATGCACACTCAACTCATATTTCCAGGTCATTTATCTGGAGACAGGAGAGAACTGACCCTAAAATTGAGCCCTGGCAAACACCATTAGTGACTGGCCACAAGCCAGATGGTTCCCCATAATGTAAAGGTTTTGGGACTTCAAAAGTAATGTTTTTAAACATGATCTTCCACCAAGGTATTTCAGAAACACATGTATTTATGCAGTGTAAATACAATAGTAAATTACAAATTTCATAAGGCTTAGTTTTAACTAAGCAAGAAAGGCTGTTTGAAGGATTTGCACTGTTCTAACATAACATTGCATATGTTCTAACATAAACTTTAAAATAATTAATTAGTTCCAAATACTCACAGTGGTGGGATTTTAAAGCACCCATGTCCAAATGACTGTAATAGAACCTTTTCCATATATCAAAGTAGCATATGTAGTTAACGTGTCTCATACATTTTATAATTAAAATGCAACCTTTAAAAATTAAATTGCAGCTTTTATCAGAGAGACTAATGAATAAATCCTGGCTTCCCTATTAGTTAGTGGCAGACCTCCCAGTTAACTTCAATAATCAGGATTTCACTATGTATTTTATTTAATTGATCAGCAGATTTGTTCCTGTGAGGATTGAGTCAGAGCAGTTGACTGCTTTGGTAGTTTTGAAGGCAGCAAACAGTGTTCTTTTAGAAAGGGTGAGGTTGTTGCTCTGAGGTATAAAACTCCAGCAGAATTATTAACCAAGTTTAGCTGGGGAAACACTTCCTCTGGGAACCACTCTGGGCAAGTTGTTCCAGAGTTTGGTCACCCTCGCAATAAAGAAGGCTGTCATTTGATTGGGGTTTTCTTTCCCCTTATACTTACGCGAGGTGTAAGTATATATATACTTTTTTGCTCATTGTCACTTGATCTTCCACTATATACCACTGAGAAGACTCCAATCATCTTTATCTCCTTCTAACATCCTCATCAGATGCTCATACATGTTGAAAAGATCACTCTTTATCTCTTCTGGAGGCTGGTGTGGCCAGCTGCCCAACCTCTTCTACGTCAGATGTTCCAATTCATTGATCATCTTCTTGGCTGTTTGCTATTTTGTGGAATGCCTCAGCATGCTTGTGGATATATATTTTTTCCTGTGTGCTTGTGATCATCTCATTAACCTATAGTCACAAGCCTGGCATCCTTTGTTCACTTGAACTTTCAGTTCTCTGTTTCAGAAATAGTGATCTGTTTATTAAACGTTAACACTGGAAATAATTTTTACAAAGGAAATTCGGGTCCAGCAAAGTAGATGAGGAGACCTCTTGTAACCTGTTTGTATCATCTGTGAACTGCTGGGATTGAGGTCTGAAAAAGATTCGCTAAATGCTTATACCAAACATACATAAAAGTGACTTCCAGATTTGGGCAAAATAACCAAAATTCAAAACCACTATTTTTTTCCTTTTCCTCCTCTTTTAATTATTCTTTCTTTCATAGCTTACCTTAGAACTTAGCTGACTCTCAAATTAAGATGAAAAATACTCATATCCATCCATCCCAGTCTTCTCTTGCCTTATTTTTAATGAGCAAGATCCTGTTTCTAGTTTTCTACATACCTTGTGTCTCCCATGTTCTGTTAAAAATCATTAAAGATTATTCTTGCTTTTGTAAGAATAAATAGATTTTTAAAATACAGTATGACTATGGCACTTGGAGTGGTAGAGTTTGACTGTGACTTTCCAGATGGTGAGCTAAATTCTAAGAGTAGAAATTCAACCTCTTCAGCTGATGGGTTGCTTGGAGGTCATGGCTGAAGTGGCTGTCATTGAGAATCTTTCCACCTCTGGAACCTTTGAGTTCATCATTTGTCTAGACTGGAAAGGATAGCCCTTCTTACATCCAAACTATCCCAGACTGCTCTTTACTCAGAATATATCTGCTGAGGCTCCAGCTCCTACACAAAAGCTGAGCTCCAGCTTGACTTGCGAAAGACTTCTATTATTCTAGTTTAGGTGTTTTTATTCTAGGTGATCTTCTTACTGGCCAGGCTACATTTGCTCCCTCATTCCAATATCTTCATCCATATAAAAAGCCAAGATAATTTATTACTGTCACAGATACAGGAATTTTACTGTCAATTACTTTATGTAATGGGATTATTTAGTCTTAAATATATAGCAAAAGACTTCAATGGTTATTTGCATCTCCTTAGATAGGGCTGAAGCACTTTGCTTTTCATCATATCTCACTTTAGTTGCTACAAGTTGAAAGTTGTTGAAACTTTGGGAGGTAAATTAGTTTATTTTGGCTGCTGATGATTTACTTTTCCATAGCTGCTTTATTTTAGTTGGGGTTATAGGTATTGTTTTGGAGTTTTTCTTCTGTAATTTAATCACAGGAAAATACAAAAGTGAAGAAGGACCCTAACGATATAAGCTTGAGCAACAAGCAAGGTGATAGTAACAGCACCAGCAAATGTAGATATTGAACAGATTTGATACTAGGTTTATTATAAAGGTGGTTTGGACCTGTTGATCTGAAGAGAACATAATTTTGTTTAATATTATTTATAACTGATTATTGTAAATCTAGCAGTGTAACAGCAAACTGAGCTGTAAGGATGTTAGCTTTAGGGTCCATATGTTAATGTAATATTTCACATTAGGAGCTGCAGTGCACAAGGCAACAGCATCCTTCAAGGCTGTCTTCTCTTACTGCCTGCCCTAGCTTGAAGGAAGAAGAAGCTCCAAGCAGCTGTGGAGAAGAAACAGAATTACCATCCAGTGAGGTACAGTGCAGTTTTATGATCAGTATAATTCACCTTCATTTGGCTTTTTCAATTTAAATTGCTCAACAGTCATCTCCTTGAAGACTTAAAAACCTATGTCTTTTTTAAATTATGCATTGTTCCTGTACAAAATCATATTTGTTAATGCTAAATAAACTAGGGTTTCTCAATCACTGCCATGATGTTGTAATTAATCTTCTTGTACAAACTTTCAAAATTAAAAATAATAATTTTATTTTGTCTTGCCTCTTGCTGAAGCCCTCTTTCTTTCCAAGTCCAAGATGCCACTATGAAATGTAACCAATTTTCTGATATGTTTGATGTGAAAAGTATGTATGTCTGTAAGATTGTGTTTGAATTTGAACAGGTTTGGATAGATTTCTCTATTGAAAATCATGGGCCAGATACATCCACAAAGATTGTTCAAACTCAGCTGCTCAGTCAGAGTCCTAATCATGTCCAGCAGGTTCAGCTTTCTTCATCTAGAACGCATAATTTCTGTCAAATTTTAGATACGGCATCAAGCCTTTTTCTACTCAGTCCTCAGAAGAACACCAGCCAGGGTAAGCCTGCTTTGTAAAGCAGTCACAATATTTGACTCTTCTGGAAGTGTGGAATTAGGGTGGGTTCTGTCATCGTTCACTAATTCTTTTACATACTGCTCTTGTTGTTACAGTCCTATGATCAGAATCTGAATGAGTTACTTGAAGGGAATTTCATAGTTGCCAGTAGAAGTAAGAATTAAGAGGAATGTCTATATAGCTGTCTGGTTTAAATGCCATCATTGCAAATAGTTCTTCACTTTTATTAAGTACTCCTGTAAAATGCAAATTCTGTTTTGATGTAGTCTAAAACTTAGCTGGGGCAGATATAGAAGTGTCTGAGAACTGCACACTTCATGTGTTGACAAGTGACTCTTAGATCAAATTGTAATTTGCAAGTCCTTGCTTAATTGGTGGTTTTTTGGCTGGTTTATAGCTATAATACTGCTTAGAGTGCTAAGATCTAAAAGCCAAAGGTGACATCACAGGCATAATGGTGGTATATGCTATGGGGATTCCCTACAATTTTATAGTCCACAGCAACAAGTTGGAATGGGAAAAAATAGAAGCAGGCACAAATTTTTATATGTGAGACAGTGTCCAGTCTTTACATATGAGACAGTTGTCAGGGTTAGGATGACAGGAGAAGGTAAAACCTAGGTCATAGACTGAACATGAATTAGTGTTACACTTCCACAAAAATCACCACATGTTCTTGGAAATTTTAGCAAGAGCGCCATTTGTAAGATATATGCAGTAAATTGTAGCCTCTTTACAGGGCAAGTTTTTAAGGAACTTTTTAATGGCATCTATTTTGTTGAGCAGTGTATTGCAGCTTAATGTTACATATTTCAAACTGTTCGTCTGTTCATAAAATAATCCTTCATTGGCTAAATTTTGGGAAATTAACACCTGCTGTAGATAGGACAAAAAAATAATGGACTTACATTATAATATCGGAAAAATTTTAGGGATAGATAATAGTGGACAGTGTTCCCTAGAGGGATTGCAGACTTTTCTTTATAAAAGATAATTATAAATAGGCAAACATTTCTCCAGAATGTTCCAGTAAAAATGGGTTTTGTTTAGTTTTTTTTTTTTTTTTTAATAAGAGGTGTAGCTTTCAGTAAGTTATTTCTCAAAGTGCTGTAGGGCTTATGTGAATTGACTGGGCTTTTTGCCTTGATATTATTTTCATCATCATCATTATTCCTGAGATCTGACAGTATCTGTATAGCAATATGGCAGCCATTTAGACTATTCAAATGAGATGTATTACCATTACATAGATATGCATATGCGATTAATCACATACAGATTGCAAGAACAAGAATGCAATCACTGGATTAAGGGAAGTGATTTGTTCCCCTAAAGTTGATACTTGAAAGGCCACTGTGTCCACCTTTGGAACCTCTTGTACAAAAGTGTGACAAACTGGAGGCCAGTGGAGAGCCACTAAATGGCTGAGGCATGGAAACACATTACACAAGAAGAGGTTTAGAGAACTGGGTGGTTCAGTGTGGAAAGAGTAGGTGAGTGGTCTGATTGATGCTTTTTAACTACCCAGTGAGGGGATTTTGGAGAAGATAGAACCAGACTTAGAGATGCACAGTTAAAAGTGGCAATGGATACAAGTTGTGTCAAGATATATTCTGAGCAGGGAGTGATAAGCACTGTGACATTTCACCCACAGATCCTATCCAGCCTATATTACATCTATTTTTAAACCAGTGTATGGAGGCAATGAACCGCCTTTAGTAGCTCACAAGAAAAAATAATACTTAAAAGGGCTTTCAAAATGAAGAGTAGATTATAAGTGTATTTATTCACAACAGCAGTGCATTGCAGGGACAAAGTAACATGCATTGACAGACCTGTAGGACTGGAATGGACAGTGGAGTAGTGGAATAGTGCTGACACTCATGATTCACGTGCTTTTTTTTGTGAGGCTAGGACTGAAATAGGAAGAGTATTTCAGGCCAGGCCTATATTGACAGGATAAGCAAAAGGATGTCTTTGAAACATTACTGATAGCACCATGCAGTTTTGTGCTGTTGTATGTCTGATGCAACAGCTTTGGCAGCCTTACAAGGACATAAGTTTCTTAATATCTAGAAATTTCCAGCCACTGTTGCAAAACTTGTAGATTTTTGGGGATCTAGAAATAGCAAAAGGGACAGAGGATACTGCCAACGTGGAACAAGTGAAATGTGAATCAATAAGGGATAATATTTTCCTAAGTCCAAGTTTAATTTGATCTCTGCATCCAGATTTATATGAGGCATAGAAGAGTGGAACTTCTTACTCAAACATGCAGACCCTGAAATACTGCATTGCAAGAATACAATTTTTAAACACTCTATTTTGCTGCTTAGCTTTTTCCTCCAGGAAAAGGTGTCCTTAATTCCACTGGACTGAATTCTGTATTTCAGAAAAAAAAAATTTATGAAAGTAAAATCTTTCCCGTTTTTGGAACAACATCACCTTAGAAGCATTAGATACAAAATTTTAAAATTCTGCTTCTGATTTTTAGCAGAGGCTTGTATTATTTTTCAGGCCTGAGCTGTGGAAATGAATTTAATATTTCCTGTTTAAAACCATTCACTTGAATTTAATATAGTCATCAAATACATTGTTACAATGGATAGAACTGTCATTGAGACAGAGTGACTTGGAACTGGGCTTTCAGGTACAAGTGACGCACACAGAGACTTGGAAGCTCAGTGACATAAAATGATTTGCAGCAGAGCACACAAGTTAGTTTGCTTATTCAAACCTTTTTTTTTTTTCCAAGTTCAACTCTGTCCAAATTGGTAACACCAGTAGATGTGTTTTGTGGGAATTTCTGGTGAAACAGAATTGTAGCTTGAAAATTATTTTTCTGAACCTGTTGAACAGTTTCAAAATGGTTGGCAGGTCAAGTAAGCCTTGCAATTTGCTGTATTTCCAACATATTCCAATGCAGTGACTAAATGTGTTTTGAAGAGTTAATGACTACCTCTTAATTACTGGACTGTTATATACTTTATTTATTTCACCATCAAATTCAGACCTTGTGTAAGCTTCCAATCAAGTCAGAAGGCTACGAGATATTTTAATTTTCTTTTTCCTTACTCTACCTGCTAATTTTCAGTTTACTGTAGAAATTAGATGGATTTCATAGCTTGGATGTTAATTCTGAGGATACTTACTAGTTTTTCAGAGGGGAAAAAAGCAAACAGCACCTATTGAAGTTTAGCTGTAATACTGCATTTAGCATGAAGCCTGTACTGTGAAGGGTTCTGTGAGGTACTGTGTGAAAAGCTCCTTATCAGCTCCAATCAGCTATCCTTGGGTTAGCAGAGGCTGGGGTCAATGCAGGGGGAATAAGGGTGTAAGGCAAGCTGTCCCCCCCACTAGTCAATTGATTTATATATATTTAGTGTAGATTAAACTTTGTGTTTTCAAGTCCTACAATACATTTTTGAGAAACCCCACCAACACAAGTATTCAGAACCGTGTCCTCAGTTTAATAACTTGGGCTTACATTGTAGCCTAACAAAGAACAGGAGTGAGCTGCTTGAACTTAGATAGGGGAGGTTCTTGTACTGTTATTCTCACTATAACTTGCAAAGCTCTGTTGTCTGAAATTCCACACTTCATGGATCAAAAATTATCTTAAGTGTTTCCACGCTAGACAGAATTTCAACAGCTTTGACATCACTGACAGGTCTAAGAGCAATCCATGTTGGTAAAAAGCTGGCCGGAGAAAGAATCTGGTAAAATATTAACAAACAGAAACAGTGCTCTGGCTCTGGCTTCATTCCAGCTCCAATCAGAGAACAACTCATGATCTGTTTTTTGTGTTACGTAAAACTTCATCTTTGAAGTGTTTCACAAATATTAGCTAATACCCTAGTATGTTTTCTTTATTTCTATGTTCTTCTCCTGAATAGGAACTTTGAGTTGGTGTTCCTTCAGAAGCCCTGATAGCCATAAGCAAATATCCAGTGACAAATTTCTTAAATGAAACTTCCATCTGAGGAAATTTCAGTTTGCCTCTACAGCATGTGTGCATATATCTCTTTTATCCTGAGGGGAAAAAAAATCTATGAATGTTCATTTCTGACAGAAGTTAGCACACATCAAATGGAAGATATGTTAAGCATTTCAATACACTAAATATTTAGTTCAATTTTCAAAAGCAGCTTAAGTGCTTAGCTATGATCTTGCTCGCTCTGTTTGCCATGGTCACTTCTGAAATTAAGTTGCAGGCTTGTAAATTAGGTGTGTTTTTTCATTGGTGTGCAAACCAAGCTACTACATTTAAATAGTATTTCCAATTTTTCTGGTATTGATTCTTTATCTTTTCCTAATTTTTGGAACTAACCTTACAAGTTTGTGGTGGTTGGTTTTAAATTTCTGTGTTTGTACACATTTTTGACAGTCCAAAACTTAAAAATAGCCGTGTAGAATGCTTGTGTTCTGTGTTGTGTTGTTCCAAATACCTAACTAAGTAGCCTTTACTAGTTACAACTATAGTTTCTCTACTAATGACAGGAGACGAGCATACAGAAGTCTTCACAGGAAGGGATGCATGTCATGCATTGGTGCTTGGTTACTTTGCCTTTGGAATTATACAATTAGGGCTTCCCACATTAATTTCTGAAAGTCATCCCTTTGAGTGAATACAAAAGGCCCTTGAAAACTGAGTATTTTAAAAAACAGACTGTCTGTAAGCAGTGTTAACTGTGTGCTATGGAGCACTGGATCTGCTCATTCCTGTTATTTAGACCACGAACAAGAAGTAATATTGTTCAGCTGCTGTTCTCGTTCAAGACAGTAATCTTTGAAGCAATACCTTTCAGACACTGCTGCCTGCACTTTTCTAAATGGCTGATGTTGTGAAATTCTGCTTTCTTATCTGCCAGATGTGGTAGAGATATTCTAATGATTAAAGTCCATTTCCCATGCAGGAAAATACACCCAATGATCTTCATGGGCTCAAGCATCCTCTTCCATACCTTCTACATCTGTAGAAAGCCACTAGGTGGCAAGCTGGACAACAGGATTTCGCATCCACAGCTCAAGAGTCCACTGAGCTTTTGTCACCAAGCTGATTCAGTGCAGAGATCACACACACGAGTGAACAGCTGGTTCAAGCTAAGCCATTGTATAAAAATTATTTTGAAAAGTATCATGTTTTGACATAAGCCACAGTGTCATGCTTTGCATCGAGCTATAAACCTTCAATCAATCAATTCATTCTGTTTCAGGAACATGTAGTATTTCCTTTGATGTAGAATTTTGTTTAGGCTTTCAACCATGTTAAATTGACTTTGAAAATTTACCTTCTCCTACTAGTAACTGATCTTTGTCAATTTGTGCGCCTTTAATTCTTGCTGTGATTGAGTAGTATCTGGGACTGCAGACTATGATGCTTATAAAATTAAACTAGTACAGAATACTGTAGTGTGTGTCATTACAGGTTTATTATTACTACTTCTGCTGTCTGCTTTGTCTCTCCATAGAAAATCTGATGTTACAGTCTCAATGCCTTGAAAAATAAGGGTTAAGTGGCTGGAGCCAAACACCTGTAAATATTACCTATAGTTTACAGTGAATAATGTGATTGAACAGTTCCATGTCAAACCATGCCATTTACCTAAAGAAACCTGTGATAAGACTGAAGTTCAGTTAGTTGGAGATAATGGTTTTTGAAGAATTATGTGAGAACTGCAAGATGGACTCTGACTGGTATTAGGACCAGACCCACTGCTTCCTAAACAAAGATGTTTCTTTTTGAGTTAGTCCTTTCTGGAAAGAGAGGGATTTTAGACAACAAAACCAAATATTTACATACTAAATGTTTTCCTAAGTGAAAGAAGATTGAAAAAAGACCCAAAAGATAATGGCAGTAATGCAGCTTTGTAAAGCGAACAGACTTACCTCTTGAGTCTTTTATATCATGCATATCCAAACACATTTTCTCAAAATGGAGAGAAGGGTAAACTTGTAAAATATGATGCTTTAAAACAGCTGAACAGATAGGTAGTGCTTGACTTGAACTGTTAACACTGACCTTCCAGATGTCTTCCTCTCTTAAGCAGTCTGATGCTAATGGAGAATGAACATGTACAGATGAAGTGAGGATTGAGCAGAATCCTCAAAAATCCTGTGTTATACCATCAGCATGGCAAGCCTTAATGAACTGTTCTGGGCTTCTATGTACAGAAATGGTCCTGATAATATAAGATTTTGACAATGTGGCATTATGGCAGCAGTATATTTAGAAGAAAAGAGTAAACCAGCTCTCTTCAACTATCCAATCTCATAACTGAATACAAACATAACCAAAGTATTTTTCTGTCTGTTTTTTTGAGCAGGGGAGTTTGAAGTTGTACATTCGATCAAGCAATCTGAAGAACCTCAGCAAAATGTCAAAGCCAAGGATAAATGTGAAGCATCAGCTGAAGATTTGACAGTCAGAGGAGCAAGGCTGGAAGTTCAGCAGAAATTAAAATCCAGGAGTTTATCTTGTGCTCATCTATTAAAACCAAAAATCTCTTATAGCATGGCAAAAATACGCAATTATAATATTAAAGACTAATTTCTATGTTGTCACATAGGTTCTTTACACATTTGCTGTTAACTTACTTGGACATCTCTGTATCGGGTCTAATTGTCAGACTCAGTTTTGTATGTCAGGTTGAGATATTTGCAGCCAGAAGAGAGAACAGATAGCCTGTTTCATACAGTGAGGCCTAAAATAAAGGGTTAATCTGTGTACATTATGAGGTTACAGTCTTCACTGTTAATACAGATTTATTTTAATTATATATGTTAAGATTTTCTTGCATCATGAATTTAGAAATGCTCAGTAACATATAGGTAAAGCCTTGTGCCTTCAGGCAGGACTTGCAGGACTTCAGCAGATGTTTTGTTGAGAAACTGTAGATGTGATTTAAGCTTAGAAGTGGGATGCCTCAACCTACTTGTTTTCTAAATAATGCAACCGTTAATCCTGTGGAGCTTTCTACTTGATAGAAAAGGGTTTAAAAATATTGCATCTGAGTCTGTATTATTTCTCATCTTCTGTAGCTCCTTCCACTTGTTCAGAGAGCATGAAAGAATATAAAATTAAATTTCTATTGTCACACCAGTGATTGTATTTTCCCTTGACAAGAGATTGTACGGACTTCAAAGCAGTGAGAAACACTGCTACAGTATTAGAATCATAGACAGACAATATTAGAATAACACAGACATGTAAGAAATAAGTCTTAAAACAGATGAAACTAAAAGAAAACTTGAATGAGTTGTGATGTAAGAAAGGATAGCTCTGTAGTAATGATCATGCCAGGACACTAATACAAGCAGTCAGTGTATTTTTGTAGCATTTCCAGAAATGCTGAGCTGTCCTGGGATATTAGAGATGAATTTTCATATAAGTAAAGGAAATGCACATTAAAAATTCAATTAAAAACTTTTAATTGTGGGGATGGTCAAGCACTGGAACAGATTGCCTGGATGAGTTATGAAATCTCTGTCTATGGAGATACTCAAAACTCAACTGGACATGGGCCTGGCCAGACTGTTTCAGCTGACCCTTGAGTTGAGGGCTTGGACTAAGTGATGTCAAGAGAGGTACCTTCCAATCTAAGAGATTCTGTGATTCTGCAAGTGGTATCGCTGAAGTGAATAATACTTACCAGTTGCTGCTAAATATATAAAATGTAAAAAGGGTAAACAAAGGAAGAGAGGCATTTATCCATGAGTGTCTTTTCTTTGTGGAGCGTTTTTTTATAGAAAGGCTTTCATTATACTCTTTGCCAGGAGGTGTTCTCTTCAGCACCTGATAATGTGGTAATAATCCATTTGAGAATTTGAATAATTATTTTCTACTATCTACTGAAAATATTTTGCTTTAGTGCAAAGGTGCAGTGTTATAATCAGATGCTAAATCTGCATGATATTTCGTGAGATGTTGTTAAGCCAATATAAGGCCTGAGAGACCTTGTCAGCTTCTCTCTAAACATTTGCATTACTTGAAAATCCTGTCATTGGATTCAACATTGTTCATGAGCCAGGACAACATGATGCACTCCCTTGAACCAGGCCCTGAATGAGTTCTTTCTGTAGCACAAAGCATAGTGGTACAGGAATTTTGGCCCAGATCACAACAGTTAAAGCACTCAAGCACTCACTGCTTATTTCTAAAACTCAGTGTGTATATTCCAGGTTTTATAATAGCTGTAGATCATCCTGAAATTTATTTTGTTATTTACATGTTTAATATTGACCTACGGAGATGCACAATATTTCGGTAGTATGTGATTCTGTGCATGTGTTAAAAGCAGCATAAAAGAGCAGTTTATGCCATGATATTTGCAATACTGCATTTGAACCTGGAAAACATTTCTCTTTATTCCTTACACTGTGGGTGTAAGCTGATGGGCTGCAGACTTCAGAAACGCTTTTGTGTATGTTTGTATGCAGGTTTCTATGGGATTTTTTGTTTGTTTGTTTGCTTGTTTGAGGTTTTTCTGGTTTGGGGTTTTTTTGGGGGGGGGGGTGGTGTTTTTTTGGGGGTTGTGTTTTGTGATTTTTTTTTTTTTTTGTGGTTATTTGTTTACTCCCCCTCCCATGTCAACTGGCATGCCTGTTCATGCAGACCTCTTGCCAGTAACGAAGCTTTAATTTATTCAGTTTCCCTGAGAAACAGGTTTCCTTAAGTCAACTGTAGGTAAGGAAAGATGATATCTGGGTTGTTTCATTTTATTTTACTTGTGGTAGAAAAAAAAGTAGTTCAGTTATTGTACATTTGTTTCAGAGTACTTCTGAAAACATAGCATGTAAGTATGAAAATTAACAAAATATGCATAATAATAAATCAAATGGACATACTGCATGGAGCGGTTGTGCTAAGGATACTAAATACAGCAGGAAAATAGATTTCTCTTATGAGCAAAATATTTAACAAACTGGGCACTGATTTCTAAGAAGCAGATTAGAAGAGTGGCAGCAAGGTACTACTGTGTATACTATTGAATTGTACAAAGAAAGGAATGCGTACAAAGAAGAGAATTCAGGTAGATCACAGAGTACTAAAAAGGTAAAAGAAGATATTTTTTATTGTTGTCCTTATCAAAGGGTTAAAAACCTGTTATGTTGAGGAATGTATAGATAAAGGCAAAAGGTCTGTTCCGAGAAGGTCTAAATGGAGTTGTGTTGCAAAGCGGCAGTGCAAGTGCTGCCCGGGACTGGGGCCTCTGCCAGAGCCAGTTCAAAGCCATGAAGAAGAGACAAAGCGGGGGACTTTCTTGCATCCCCGTGTTCAAGCCCACATTTGCCGACCGAAAGGCTTTTTTGTTTCGGAGTGGCAGTCGTAGGGAATGCAGAAGAAAATTCAGATTCGCTACTTGTTCGGGTTTAACTGAAGGTGTGCAAGTTACAGGGAAAGTGGATGAGAGGTGCCCACACGCAGAACGATCCGCCCCGTTCCGCTGGAAAGGGGGGTGTAGCAGGGGCACGGCGGGGAGGGAACCTCTGGCGCCCGCCCCCCGCCTCCGGACTCGCTCTGCTGCCGCCAGTCGAGGCGGCGCGACGGGCCTGGGCACGGGGCAGCGCATCCCTGGCCGGCGTGCCTGCTGCCCTGTGGTAACCCCGGGACCGCGCTCCGCCGGGGTGAACGACCGCCGCCGCCGGAGAGCGACGGGCGCTGCTCGCTCTGCCGGCGGCCGCAGCCACCCCTCAGCCGTCACCACATCGCCTTATCGCTTAGCGACACCGCGCGGGCCCCGCGATTGGCAGGGCCGCGCCCCCGCCCACGTGCCCCTTCCTCCGCATTGGGTGCCGTCCCGGGATTGCGCGTCCGGCCCCGCGTCCTTTCTCTTTGTGCGCCGCGGGTGCTGCGCGATCCAACCGCGCTTGGACCGGTGCCCACGGCGCCCTCGCCTCAGTCGCCGAGCCACGGTGCCGGCACGGCGCGGTCGTACGCCCCACGGTGTACCTACCCGCGGGGAGGTGGGAGAGGGACACGACAAGGTCCGCGCCCACGGGGGGGTCGGCGCTGCCCAGTCCCCGGCCAAGCCAGGCCAAAGCCAGGCACGCCCGCAGCGCCTAGCCTTTCCCGGCCTCCAGTACAGGGCGGGCGGGGCGCGAGAGCTTGGCCCCGTGCCGCGGGCAAGCGGGCCCGCCTGTGTCCGCCCCGGCCTGGCCAGGGCCCCCTCCTCCCGTGGAGTGGCTCCGGCGGGCAGGGGCTGGCATCATCCCGGGTCTGACCGGGGCAGCCCTGCCCCGACTCTCATTGGACTGCGGCGAGGCGTAAACTGTCAGCCCATGTGGCGTGGCCGCTGGAGGTGGCGACTGCTTAAATAGGGGTGGGAGCTAGAGGGAGATAGTGAGGAGAGCGCGGAGTATCGGCAGAGCACAGCCCAGTACCAGCCGCCGCAGCATCTCGATCCCGCACTGAGGTGACGACAGAATCTTACCGACACGAAGCCATCCGCACTTCTGCAGGTATCGGCGGGACAGCGGGTGCGGCGTAGTCAGGAGAGCGGCAGCTTCTGCTCCAGGTTCCACGGGCCGCTGCTCCCCGCGGGTGCGCTGGGGAGGCTCCATCTTGCTCTTTACGCCGGGTAGGCGATGAGGGTCCCTGGGCTCGGCGGGAGTCCGCAGGGTCGGTCCGCGCGACCGGAAAGTTCTCCTCCCGTGTCCTGGGGTTGCCGCGCCCTGTTGCTGCGGGCCGCTCTCCCGTGGCCCAGCGCGGTCGTTCCGGGGAAAGTCCCCCACCTCAGCAGCTGGTTACCATGCCGCAGCCTCCCGCTCCGCCCGCTCAGCAAGGTGGCTGCATTGTGGTGCTGGCGCTCAGCCATCTTGGCGGCGGGCGGCCTCCCGCCTCGGCCGCGACCCGTCGCAGCCGGGCCGAGCGGGATCGGGGACGCGGCCGGGCCCCGCTGCCCGCAGTCCTTGCCCGGCGACAGCGGCTGCGCGAGGGGCCGCGCCCGCCGAGAGCGGGGCGGCCTCAGCTGCTGCGGCCCGGGCGCCGGGCCCCGCACGGGCTCGGGTGGGCGCCGGGCCCCGCACGGGCTCGGGTGGGCGCCGGGCCCCGCACGGGCCGCTCTGCCCGGGCAGCGGGGCCACGGCGCTGCATTCTGCACGCTGGCCCGGGTTAGGGCGAAGGCGCGGCCGTGGCAGGCTGAAGAAGCTTGTACGAGAGCATATCGGCGCTCGATACTGGGAAGGGAGACTCACCAATAGGTTCTGGGAATCCATCTGAGAAAACGTGCATGTATATTGCTAAACTATTTTTTCCCACACGAAATAGCCCGATGGTCATACACCAGTATGGATTTGACGATGCGATTCTCTTAGGAATGTGATCATCTTCTCTGTTTGGGTGTTTTTGCACCCGTTTGGTGCTTATTCCACATTCCTTCCCTGGCACACGGCCCTATAAGATACTGATTGCGCATTGTCCTAGCTAATAGCTTTATTTGGCTGCTTAAATTTAAACAGGCAGTATTAACGGTGTGTGGATAAACTTGCCCACTCCATCACACCACCTTTGGAGGCTTTGGAGCGTTTCTTGTCCTAAAAAATGGAGAAGGAACCTCAAGCTACATGAGCAAAGGATTCAGCTTTTCCTGCAGCCTCTATCCTTGAAACAAAGTGAAAAGAATAGTACATTGTGAAAGGCTGCATTTAGTGGGCGAATTCAGAGAATGAGGGCAGTTATGAACAGATATTTTACAAACATGATAAAGGACTTTGATTTTTATACAGGTAACTTCTGACCACTTGGGAATCAACCAAGCTGTGTTGATTCCATGAGTAAAGCCTAACTTACTTACTATTTCTCCAGTAACAGATTTGAATCAGACTGTGTTTCCCTCTAAGTAGTGCTTTTAAAATATAAACACATTCTACTGTTTTTCATTATTGTTGTGGTTGACAGGACAAATACCTGAAGCAGAGGCATTTGGAAGATCTTTGTTAAATCAAATCTGTAACATACAGATGGATGGTAGCCAAATGCTTTCAAAAGAATGAAAGCCAGACGGTGTTTGCCTCTATTCTGTGAATGGGGTTTTTGGAGACAAGCATTATAGCTCTTCATAAGTGAAGTTTCTGTGTAAGGACACTTTTTGATTATTA